TTAGCACGTTTATTATAAAGGTGGATTAGGTTTTGCACTTTTGAGCTAGTACGTAGTGCTAATAGCTCTTCATTGATGGCTTTTAACCTATGTTTCTCTTTAATTTGGTTAAAAATTATTGTTATTTGTGTGACTGCTGTGAAGTCGTTAGATTTAAAATAACGTTTCTTTAGGCGTCTTAGTTTATTACGATATTTAGCTGGTATATATAATTCGTAATGTTTACTAATCCTGTAAGTCTTAATTGGTGCACAGGAGTCTAGACAAGAGTTAACAATGAAATAGAATATATTGATGGCATCTGTCAGACTATTACATGAGAAGAATTCATCCCAGTCTGAGAGTTTGATCAGTGAGCGCAAGAGGTCCCAGTCTGTATGCTTATAGTCTACTGCTTTCCCACTCTTAATTTGTCTGATGATCATCGTGATTTCTTCGACGGTTGTGGAGTGACATCTATGGGAATGTTTGTGAGTTCTGCTTCGATATCCGGTGGATTCAATGGAGTTGGTCTATTCACAAGTTTATCGAAGTGTTCCACATATCCTTTCCTCTGTTCTTGAATCCCAGTGACTGGCCTGCCTTCTCTGTTCGTGACCAGTTTCTCTGATTTACAATATACTTCCCTTTTGATTTCTTCATTGTGTCATATAGTTGTTTCATATTTCCTTATCTTGCAGTTCTCCCACATATTTCTGCTTGTTGGCTTTAATGCTCCTCTTATGTGCTTGTTTGATTCTGTATATTCAGATTGTGTCTTGATTTTCCCTGTTCGTGTTCGTCTGTTGTTAATTGCTGTCTTACTGTTCTTTCTTCAATCTTGCCCAGAGTTTTAGTAGAGATTTATTCCCTGTGGTGATGCTTCTTGCGACCCAGAACCTCCTGACATGATAAAATCAGCGCTTCTTTGTTTCAGGTGTCATCCATAATAGTTTCGTCTTCCTTCAGTAGATCTTGTAGTGTTTGGAAGCTGTTGATTGGAGTTGTCTTGAATTCGTTGAGTTTTTCGTTATCTCGAAGAAATACTGTATTATTCATTTGCAGTACTGTTTCTCCAGCTTTTCAATCCTTCTTTAGTTTCAGTTTCATCTTAACAGCCACAATTAAGTGATCTGAAGCTATGTCAGCAACTCTCCCGGTTCTCACGTCCTCAAATGACCTTGTGAATTTTTTACTGACGCAAATATGGTCGTTCTGGATCACTGTAATTTCACCTGGTGAGACCCACGTAGCTTTGTGTAGAGATATAGTGCCATTTATAACCATCTTGTTAAATGTACATAAATGCGCGAATTGTCACCAGTTTTGTCCCTTTCTGTTATATCTAGAGCCTTGATTCTTAATATGCCGCGAACTACTTGACTACTAGAACGATAGAACCCGCAAACGTCGCAAAAGAGAGAAGACAAAGACTGGTAAGCAGGAAGTTTATTGCCCCAAACAGTGTCAAAATATAGCCCAGAAATCTCGTGTATTTATAGTTTTTTGGCTGAATGTAACCATCATTTAGGTCAACCAATAGGCACATAGGTATCATGCTAATCCATCCAATGGGGAAGCTCCACGTTGGCATTTCTAGAACATTCCCCTAGCCGTGATTGGATGGAATGTCTGTGGCTCTTCCTGGGCTTCTTAGGGCTTCCTAGAGTTCACCGACGAGCCGTCCTTACACTTTCTCCTGGTTAATGTAGTCCCGTGATATCTTTATAACCGGTGTTTTCCATTCCGACTTTGGTGTCGTCATTTCTATCATTCAGTAATATTCATTATGATTCTTTCCTTTTTTGCTAAAAGGATACTTTGATGGTGCTGAGTCCATGAGATTACCATTTTACAAGTGCAATTCGTGCTTCTTTGAACAGCTTCAGAGCAACTCACTGAGTATGTGGAGCATTTATTTCTTCTTGTTCGGAAAACAGGGGGGGGTCTGCTGCACGTAAGTGGAAGCAGTGACGACTGTTATTATACATGGAAGCCGTTTTTGTGTGGCGGGTTGGTACTGAAGGGTGTGGAAAGTTCCCCTTCTGGGAGTAATTACAGTTTTGATCCTGGGGAACTTAGATAGGGTGTGGGGTGAGGAACCTGTAATTACCATGCTTATTAATGGTTTTAGACTTTAGAGGGTGGGTGGAGAGATCAGTACTCCGGTAGTTTTTGCGAGCGTGTGTGTAAAAAGGTTTGTTACGCTCAAGCCTACTACCCGTTTTGCAACTTAGAGGTGTTGATGGCAAGGTACATGACATCAGCAAGTAAGACCTATCCACGGTTGTTGGGATACCTACGGAACAGCTGGTCTCAATCTTACGTGTTTCCTTATTCGGTATTGTGGATTTTGTCTCCCCATTCTGTCTTGTCAGAGCTGAAGGGTTTCGTTGCTTCTGTGATATGAACTTAGGTTCATTCGAGTCATCTTGTAGAGTATCTTTTGGAGGACCAATTTTTAAATGAATATGTTTAGTTTGATGTGTTTCGTTACATGGATCACACTTTAGTACTTTATTGAGCGAACAGCTGGGATCAGAGATGTCGTCATGCTTTTTAGTGACAGTTGGAGACCTTAACTTATGCAAAGGTTTCTGATCTGCAGACTCGTCTAGATCTACGGACTGACCTGCCGTTTGTGGTATGACATCATGCTTGTTGTCCATGCACTTTACATTATTCACTGTGTTGCGTACTGTCTTTAGCTGGTTATTTACTATAACTCTATCATATGATTGCTTCACGTCTTCTTATACGACGGTGACAGGGCGTTAGGTCAGTAGTAAGTTTTATACTTTTGTGTTGAATTAATGAGCCAATATTTTTGCTCGAATCGTTTGCTCGAATTGTTTAGCATCGTTACAACAGCTGAACTCAAACAGGAGAAAGCAAGTCAATCTATCCGACTTTTTTCTATGGCGAATGACTTGGCAGTTTACTTTCAGCATATCACATGCTTTAAGGTAAATACCCCTTAAGTTATTTGGGTGTGTGCAATCAGGGAGATTGTATACAACTGCCTCGTGGGAAGACATCACTTTTTTCGTCACTTCTTCAGCCACGAACTCTAAAATACACTCAGCTATAATAGGTTGTTCAAGATTTTTATCAGTATTAATACCGCATATGTGTGTGAGGGTGCTAGTTGGTTAAGTCGACCGTCAAATTCGGCCAGAGAGTTTTGTAACTGACGAATATCAGTACTATATCGAATAGTATTCTCATAAGTGTGAGATAAACTGTTAGATTCCTTGGTTTTTGGTGTTTTGGATTTAGGTCTTGGCAAAGCATGCTGTCCGGTAGACCGTGTTGACTTTTTAATGCACACGGGTATGTTGCCTTTTACGTCGACTAGTCTTACCGTTGGCACACTTCATAAATAGATAGAGACGTTGTCACATGGGGAATCAGGTAATGTCAGTGATATTTATGGATAGGTAGCATAGGGTTCAGAAGATAAAGGTTTATCGTTGTCAGGCACCGAGTCATCAGTCACAGGGGTTACAGACTTTGACCTTTAAGTAGGCTTGGAAGTTGGTGACATTTCTCTTTTACTAGAGTTACTTGCCATAATTTGAAGCTGAGTGAGTAAAGAGCTGGTCTAACTAAAATGTATATGACTATACATTTATTATTACGTATTAACCGGGTTAATACTCGGATCGGAGACTATTAGCATTTAACGAACGTCAGATAAAGGGTGCTCAGTGATAACGCAAGGAAGTACTGATCAGTGAAATATCTATATCTCAATTAGTATAATCCAAAGATAAAGATGCGTGCATGTCAATGGCTGGGTCCTTATATAAGATATGTAGGAAACGAAGTCCGCTATATGTGTGCATTAACCAAACAAGTTTCGGCCAAAATTATTTTCCTAGAGTAAAGTAAGACCGGTATACGAGATAAGATGATAATCTAACAAGTCGAAGAATTTCTCAACCACGTGAAAAAATGTTACCACTTTCAAATTCCTGCTCTACATAATCAGCCTTCCTTTTTCTCTGTTATCGTCGGTTTTCTTTCGTGTTGACTATATTAAGATATAGAGAACGATGAAAATAAAGGTGGTTCTCTTGACCCAAGAACTGACCGGCAGCAATTATCTGGATGGTCTTGATTTTGGCAGTAACTGACAAATGCGTCCAAGCACAATATGATGTATATTGTTCACCAAGGTACAGATAAATATACAGTGGATAGTATCTAGCAATTTTTCGCCCAGACACACAAATACCTAGGAGCCATCCTTAGCCGAAACTATAAAACCATAACTCACTGTCATGAGATAACCACCAAAGGTTTCGAAACCTAATGAATCTTTTAGACATGTCGGTGATAGAAGCATTTCGACTATGTGAACAGTGTTCGCTCGTTCTAAACTTGAGAACTACATACAACGGATGATGGGCTGTTGGTAAAGGCCAAAAGAATTTGAAAGTTTGTTTATTCTCGAAATCATTAGCCAGCCGTAAAGCGGGTACTGGCTAAATTAAGTCTATTTCGCTGTATTATAACAGAGCCAGAGGTAATTTGATCGGTTTTTAAACTACTTAATCATAAATGTAAATCTTATGTGCCCTTTTTTTCTTGTCTTCTAAAACAGAGGATTTACATGTACACTCTAAAATAGTTCAAAAGCACAGAACAAATAACCTGTCAGCTGACTATCGACTTTCAAATCTCATCATCAGCGAACGAAACTCCTTTCCTCAACACGTGAATAAAACTTCGACGTTCTATATATTCAAAGGAAAGCCGGATCAACTGAAAGACCACCTCTACAAGGATAAAAACGAACAACCTAGTCTCCCCTCCAATGCTAACTGAAACTGCCTACAGTAGTGAAGACCAAATTATCTGTATTGCTTGAGACCATATAAGCGGGTAGATTTATTAAGTTTTAGGAATGAAACACAGTAAAATGTCTATTTTTCTTGTAAGAAGTTACATACTTATTCACAATTATATTGAATTTTTTTTCTTACGTCAACTTATTATCTAAGCACATGATTGAAGCTGCATCTGTCGACGCTTTAAGAAAAAGTTGAATTACCTGAAAGACTAACACAAGCTTCAAAGAATTCTTTTTTTTCAAACTGAATCAATTGTTAGTAACGTAATCTGGTGATTATTTGATGCTTACGTTACTTTTGGCGTTTAGCGCGCTTTTTGAGGTTATTGGCACAGATTATTCTTCGAAGACATTATTGGGATATTTGATAATTGAGTGAACTGCATTTGTATTGGTTACCTTAAAAGGAGCTTACAAGTAAAACTCACTACATAGCTGTTTGTATTACTTTGTCACTTAAATGTAACTTGCTTCCAGGCATCGTTTTTATCGTTCTCTTATTTTATACTGACACTCCATCTTTTAGTGTTAATCTTTGTTTCGGATATCACAATATGCTTGGTATATATCAAGATATGTCAATATATATTGACATATCTTATTAAAGTTCCAGTACAGGTTCACTAAAACCCTCTCTTTAGTCTGTTTTAGGAATGTCGTTTTGCAGTCATGAAGATTTGTTTATACGCTCTAATCAGATCCATTTTTTAAGAAAACATTCGTGCTTTATAAGATAGCTGTTAGGTCGCGGATGTGTGACAAGGGGAAACGATCGGAAATGGTTTTCGTACTAAATTGCAAATAATCACTTGTTTGGCCTCAATCCTTGCTGTTCTTTTAGGGACTGTGTACAAAGGAGATGCCCATCGACTGCTCGATAGCTTGATAATTCCCTAGTTTATCACGTGCTTGAATTCGTTTTTGACCAATCTTAGCTTCTCAGGAGCACTTTCCGTAAATTTTATTCCATTCTACCGCAACGTATTATTCTTGCTAAAATACAAGCATTTTAATAACGTTTATTAGTAGCTAGCAGTCGAATCCATGACGCGCATTTCGTCCCATCTGGGGCTTGTCGACTGGATTTGCCCGGTATTCATCCATACACCGGAACCCGACCCTATTACTTTTCTCTCAAAACACCCTTCACGTTATCCACTTAGCTACTGAATCCTGATAACCGTTGATTTTTACAACAGATATATGTTTTACCCGTAAGTGTTTGAGTCTTCCCGTTGTAATTGTCAAGGTCTTCAATTGATTTTTCATTCTCTACTTGTGACTACATAGCGATATCAAAGAATTCTACTCTGGATGCATATATTGCGAGATAGACTGATCACTTGCAGAAAACGACAGCAGCAGTCATATTTGAACAGACAGAGTGAGGGAATACAACCACCTCTCTCCATTGTTTCATTGAAGCAGTGGGGTTGAATAGGGTTGCCCCATCTCTCTATTTCTCTTCAAATTTTTTATGAATATCGTTCCAGAAATAGGTTTTATGGATGTAGGTAATGATTCAGTTGATCTGTTATCTGGAGAAAGACTGTTGAACTTTTACTGTGCGGTTGATGTTATCTTACTGTGTTATGATAATCAAGCTATGCAATCTCTACTTAGTCACTTGGCAACCAGTGTTCTTAGGTATTGTATTTGATTTGTACCTTCTAAGTCCAAGGTACTTGTGCAAGACTGGAGTCATCCTGTGCCTCCACCCACTGTCCAAAGTGATCAGTTAGAAGCTGTCCGTAATTTCGTGTGTCTGGGTAACCTTGTAAGTTGTAGCAATGACGTGGCGAGATTAATTTACGTGTACTGAAAGCCATGGCAGCCTATGACAATCTGGGTCATCTTCCTTAGCCTCTTGATATTAGTCTGACTGTAAAGCGCCGGATCTACAATGTATCTGTGAGAGCGTCTTGGTTTATACTTGTGAAACCTGATCTCTGAGTTGAGAATGTTACGCGGATCTTTGTGTTTGATCGTCATTGTCCTCGATGGATCGTTGACATCCAGTACAAACACTGTATTGATAATGTTGAAGCTCGGCGAGAGTGACGATAATTCAACTGGAGTCACCATCTTGAAACAGCAACTTTGGTGGTTTGGATATATACTAGAAATGTCGTCGTGGCGAATTCCACATTGTGTGTTATTTGCCGAGGCTGTAAGTGATTGGAAAAAGGCGGAGAGGCAGTCAGTGTATGACATGGTGTCGTCGTATGAAACAAAGCTGTACAGGATTGGCATCTGTCAATCCTTTACTATTTCGTGGTTGCGGTTGTAGAGATGTTGAAGCACAGTGGCTTGAGACGTTATCAGAAGTGGCTCAAAGTAGAGGCCGGTGGCATTCCTCCTGTAAACTTCTTTAACTTTCCTCATATATACGATAGTAACTTCTTTAACTTAAATAATCCTTACTGACTGTATTTTTTAAACTGAACTGTTGCTCCTATTATTTTCGAATCTCATTAACTTGCTTTTATTAATTGTTTGCTGTTATTGTACCCACCTATTTTTCTCTATACCTGCAAAATCTCATTCTTGTGTTATGCACAAATATTTTGGTGCTCATTTGCACCAATATTTGTGTGTCTAGATAAATTATAAAATTTAAGCAAATAGATAAGTATATTTACCCCAGTGTAATAATCACATTAAACTATTTTAATATGATTAATTATATAGTGACTGAGGAGTTTCATACCTTGATATACTAGCTCCCAAATGCCCTAGTACGGCCGAGAGTGGGGAGAGTCTGCTCGCCCTCTCGAAATGCTCTCATATGGCCACGTGTATATAGCCTCTGCCAAGGAAATCCTACTCACTACCTTCTCGTGGCGGGGGTATTATTTACGAAATTGAGAGGACGAAAAGCGAATATCGGGGAGTTGGAAAACCCTGATTACAAACCAATGGTGCACATAGGCTCCAGTATTCTGAGGAAACAAATGGCGTATGAATCAGTTGCTGATCACCGGCTACCATGGGACTGCATCTCCTTAAGATGCTCTACTGCCCTGTGGATCAGATCTTTAGGTCAAAGGCTCCGGTTGTGGCCCCCTAAGAAAACCAGCTGGTTCAGTTTTGGCATCTGGGCAGTATCACAGCCCTCACACAAATCGAATGAGAATTGTGTGGCGCATATGTATTCGGTGCCCCTTTGTACCAATATTTATGCGTTCAAATAAATAAATAAATAAATAAATAAGGTTTATTTGAAGAAGGCGTTCAAATATTGAAATGTCTCCGGTTTGTGTCAAATATATACAGTACATTAAGTTTTTATAATGCGGAGCAAATTCATGACAATTTTTAATTACTATTACTGAATTAAGACATAACAATCAATCAATACATGCACAATTCATTTATTGACATTCTAGACCGTGTGTGGTGTATTCACAAATCTGGTTTTGATCTTTCACAATCTTATTGATTTTTGACTAAAAGTATTTCATAAATTAATAATTGTTTTATACAGAGTACATGATCATTTAAAGTAGATCCCCAGATTATTTATATATGTATTTTTGTTTTATTTCATTAATGATAAAGACTTTTAAAGATTATTTGTTAGATGTCTGCCACTGTCCGACTTATTTAAAGAAAACTTAGACACTAACATCGTTGGATGTTGACTCAGTGGTCTAAGAGGTTAAGCGTTTGCACGCGAGACCAATAAGTGATGGGTTTGTAAAGTTATAGTTTCAAAAATTGCTCCGCTTTTACGAAGTTAGGCATTGTGATCTTATTTTCTTGTCATAGATATACTACTGTTGATGAGTTTGTATTTTAAACTTAATTAAAGAGTTTTAATGTTGTATGTTTTGAATAGGCAAAAACTTCACAATTGATTGATCATTGGGTGGTGATCAATGTCATGCGTGTCAAGTCTTTCTTAGTGCTGATCGAATTCTATCGATCAAGTAGCAATGTGGCCACTAGTCTAGGTGGCTAGACACTGCGTGCACTATGTTGAGATAAGATGGTGGTTGGAGGTGGTCAACAGGAAATCTCTGGACCAGGGATTTCCTGTTGACCACCTCCAACCACCGTCTTAGGCAAAAACTTGTTATGGTTCAGATGACTGTTTATTATACAATAATAAAACAAACCAAAATGTGTTTGAATACGCCATGTTTTATATGTTTTATTTACAACAATTAGTATTCAAATTTCAGTAAATTAAACTGAGTAGCTCTTGACACTAGTTATTTCATAAATCCATATATGAGCTCATGTTAAAATAACGTAAAATTAAACTATTGCATCCAATGAATGTAATTAATCTACTGAATCTTATCATTACTCCATCTGAAGACCTTATCATTGGTCCCCAAATGCCCTGGTACGGCCGAGAATGGTGAGAGTCCGTTCTCTCTCTCCAAATGCTCTCACATGGTCACACGTATATAGCCTCTGCCACGGAAGTCCTACTCACTGACTTCTCGTAGCGGGGGTGTTGTTTACGAAATTGGGAGGACGAAAAACGAATGTCCGGTGCTTTAACCGGGTTGGTGGATGTGGAGTGTCCACCTAGGGGAGTTGGAAAACCCTGATTCTAAACCAATGGTGCACATGGGCTCCAGTATCCTCAAGGAACAAATGGCGTATGAACCAATCGTTGATCGCCGACTACCATGGGACTGCATCTCCTTAAGATGCTCCACTGCCTTGTGGACTAGACCTTCATGCCAAAGGCCCGGGGTGTGGCCCTCTAAGAAAACCTTCGCCATTGCATTTTTAGGGTCTCCCTTTTCTAACCCCACCCCTCCTTGTGGGAAGGCAGCATTGCTGTTATGCTGGTTGTCTGAAGGAAACACCTTACTGCCGTCACACCTCTGTACATTCAGCAGTACGACTTCGCCTTCGGACCTTGGAGTTGCTGCTTTTAGTCTTACCGCTCTTCAACCGACCTGTCTGGCATGATAGGACCTTGAGGAACGGTTGTTCCAGCCAGTATAGCTCGATTGGATCATCACGATAGGCAAGCTTGACCACCACGTCAAGGTAGCAGCAACGGTCGAGCCCTAAGAAAACTACATGCTACAGTCTGGGCACGTGGGCAGTATCACAGCCCTCACATAAATCGAATGAGATTTGTGAGGCGCATATTTATTTGGTGCTTCCTTGTACCAATGTTTGTGTTTAAATAAATAAATAAGAATAATCATTGGTTTGATCTATCAGATTAAGTTTGTTCAGAAATGATGTTAGTTATATGTATTTTAAAGGTGTTGATGATTAGAACATTTTTTTCCTTAATTTTAAATTTGAGCTGATAAACATTATGAAACTAAACACTTCCAAGTTTGTGTGAAGAGGCTCCAAATATATGAAGCTAGTTAATCTGACAAGACTATATCTATTTCTGCTCTACTCTGACTGATGAATTGTGACGACATAGGCATGGACGAGGCTCAGACAATTTATACTTCTTACTAATGATTTATATTTTATTCAAATCAATATACTAAACAGATTATAACAAATGGTGGTTAGCAGTGGAATCCAGAACGCTTGTTTTGTCCTATTTAGGACTGGTCGGCCGAATACATATGCATTCCATAATTGATGTTTACTTCCGGACTAGAACCCAATAACTTAGCGACTGAATCAAAAGAGCCACTGGTTCGTGTAATGGGGTGGATTTTAATTCAAGTATATTGGGAACTTGGATCTACTCATGGGTGTTCAGGACTGCAGTTGATCAATCTCTTTTGTCATATGTGCATTCTGAGCTGATTGCTGTGTTTGAAGCCAGCGGTACTAGGTTTGAGTCCTGGAGTGAACATCAACTCTGGAGTGCAAGTACGTCCAAAGGAAATCATACAGATCAGAGGAAAACTAAAACTTATCCATTGCGTTTTACATACCATTTACGAGATTCAAACTGGAAAGCTGCTTGCAAACCACAAATTCCTGTTTAAAAAGCAATCCCAATGTTTTAGAAATATTCCTGGAAATTGCGACGTGCATGACTATCTACAAACGCAGTTTGACACGAAATAAATGCATCCAAAAGTTGTCTTCGTATCATCCAATGGGTGACTGAACTGGTCTAGTTACACGATACAAGGAAATAATTTATGACTTGATATATCTTTTTCCTTCCTGTTTACATCAATAGTACTCACAAGGTACATGACATATGTTCAGCAGCTAAGAACAAACTGTATCCCTGTTTAACATCTAGTACTCAAATACTGAAACTTGTCATCGCAAAAATAAATAGAACTAAGCCCATTAAAATAAAATTCAAACAAATCTTCTTGGAATAATCTATTTAGTATACAGTACTACTGTATATGCATTTACCTATGTTACTTGTTGTGCTAATTACTCAATTTAATATTCTTCTATAAGCGTATCATTATACATCGGTGATCTAAAACTGAATAATGAAAACTTATATTTTGCAATGAATGTAAACCTGGTTTGTGAAACACTAGCGAGTCTAAACACTTGAGTGACTTTTGATGTATGTAATTCATTTCATCAAACGAAACGGCCGTCCAGTGCTTCCAGGTTTTCCATGGTGGTCTGTCTTCAACTGACTCATGATCTCAAATATATAACATTTCATTAAAGCTCTCTTTAAAATGTTCCAATTACTGATATCTCTTTTTGCAGACAGATTATTAGAATACAATTTATTGTTGGAAAAGTTCATGCGTATCTTCGTTCATTACATATCACTGAACTGTCTTTGTTTAAAATTCTGGATAAGTCAGCAATCTTCAGTGTAAACTGAAGAACAGTTTAATATTCAAATTCACTTAGTATTGTTTGTTTGAATCTTACCATTGATGTTTTTAGGACTGCAACTGGTCAGTCTCTTATTGACTATATGTGCATACTGTGCGTATTGCCTCGATACAGCCTAAATTCACAAGCATGGTAAGCAAAGATGGATAGTAGCTAGCAATGGAATCCAGGACGCGCGTTTCGTCCTATTTGAGACTCGTCAGCTGGATGTACCTGCATCTCAGAGTTGATGTTCACTCTGAGACTCGAACCCAGTACCGTTCGCTTCAAATGCTATCGCGTTATCCACTCGGCCACTGAGTCCTGATAGCCACTTGCTTGTGCAATATTATTTATATTCATCTTCTAAAATAATGTATTAGAATAACTCAGCCATTTAAGATCTATATTTATGGAATATTACTGGAGTTTACATATTTTGACTTAAGAATGTGTACTTACTAAAAGTACTCCTGTTATTTGAGAAAAAATATATACACAATGATCTATTTAAGATTTATGAATAGACATCAATAATTTATCCACTAAACTAATTTCTTAATAGAATCTCTACTCAGCAAAATAACAGCGATGCTTACGTGACCTTGGAGGTGCCCACTTACGTCTAGGATTAAGTTAGTGTTACAAATTAGCCTGAAGAATTGGGATGAAGTGCTAAAAGTTAGAGTTTCCTTCATGAACTGACATCGACTATAATGCCAACAAGCTATTTAACCATATGAATGGATGAATTTCGTGCCAAAATCCAAAGACTTGCTATCTAAAATCCAATTAGTTTGTTCATAAATTATATTCTTACCAAATATTCCTCAATAAACTTTAACTACTTGAAAACACTAAAATTACATGCATTTGGTTTAAGATTTGCGTTGACGACATCCTTATCATCTAAATAATCGTGTTAATAATACTACCTCATTGCTTGGTGAAGAGGACTTAACCAATATTCACCATTTAAGCAATTATCTAAACTAATGTTTATAATTTAGTTTATGGAACTTTAAATCACATTTTTATTTTGGAGAACAATTTTGACTTAGTTGACCCGAGCCTCTGACCACATGATATGGCCTTAAGCTACGGGTTCAAATCCCACAGGGTGGGATCATAGATGCGCACTGCTGAAGAATCTCATAATAGGACGAAACGGCCGTTCAGTGATTCCAGGTTTTCAATGATTGTCTGACATCAATCAATTCATGATCTAAATCAAGAATAATATTTTTTGGTTTGTGTTTATTTTTAAATTCCCCCCTCCATAATTTGATGGAATATTTGCAATTATATCCATGATGCGTGGGCGTGAATGATAATGATTGGTTGTCTGCTTAGTCAGACATGTAAATAGTGTGACAGGTGTCAGATGAGTTATATATTCCCCTATGCTTATTATTTATTATTATTGGTTGATTGTCCGTTTGTTGTGGGTTTGTGTCGGGTTTTGGTTTGGAAATATATTTGATCTGAGTTATGTTGAAGTCCTGGGAGGTACTCTAGTGTAGATTTTCGTCTAAGGTGAGTTAACGTCCTATTCATTCGTAAAAATGTAAACGAATCGTTATAACAATCCAGATAGTACTTCATTTATAAAACTTTAAACTTTATTAAACAAAATAAAAAATAAGTAGTATTTATTCACTTGCTATTGTTTGTTTGAATCTGGGTTGAAGTCCCAGAGTGAACATCAACTCTTAGATGCAGGTACATCCAACTGACGAGTCCCAAATAGGACGAAGTATCGCGCTTCGTGAATTCCACTGCTAACCACTATTCATCTTTGCTTATAATAATTATGAATTAAGTCAATATTGAGGTAATACTCACAGGATACACATATGCCAATAAGAGAGATTGATCAATTGTAGTCCTAACACATCAATTTGAAAGATTGGAACTAATAATACAAAACAAATGACCAGTGAGACTAATCCATTAAAAAAAAGAAAACTAATTGATATAATTGAGTAGTATTTAAGTAGTATTTACTTATATATATTATCACTTTTTATTAAATCTTATTTTAAATTCATTTAGTATTGTTTTGTTTGAATCTTCCCATCGATATGTTAGAACTGCAACTGGTCAATCTCTTATTGGCATATGTGTATCCTGTGAGTATTGCCTCAATATTACCTTAATTCACAATCATTATAAGTAAAGATGGATGATGGCTAGCAGTGAAATCTAGGACGCGCGTTTCGTCCTATTTGGGACTCGTCAGCTGGATGTATCCGCATCTCAGAATTGATGTTCACTCTGGAACTCGAACTCAGTACCTTTCGCTTCAATTTTGACTTAGTTAACCCGAGTCTCCGATCATATGATATGGCCTTGAGCTACGGCAGAGCTTTACTCTAATTTTTTTATTTTTTTTAAATATTATTTCAGATTATTTCAACTGAATGATTGAATATCTGTAATCAACAAAAACAACAAAAACAAAAAGAAAATTACCAACAATAATCATACCTAACTGTTACCATCTAGAATCCATTTCAACTCTTCCTCTTTTTTTTCCTTTTTTTAAATGTACCGCCGATTTTTTAAATCAAAAAATGACATAGGAACACGTTTAATTTATCCAATTACATTAATTGATTTAAATCAATTAAAATTACCTAAAAAATATTTAACTAATTATATTAAAACAACAAAATATACAATATGGACATTTATACCATTAAATTTATGGGAACAATTACATCGTTTTGCCAATATATATTTTATATTTATATTAATATTAAATTTTATACCAGATATTGATGCATTTGCTAAAGAAATAGCACCAATACCAGTTTTAATTACATTAGCTATTGTTGCTATTAAAGATGCATATGAAGATTTTAGAAGATATTTATTAGATCGTAAAGTAAATAAAAAACCATGTGAAGTATATTCAATGTAAGTTTGTTTTTGATTAATAATTTAGTAATTTTATAGAGTTGAAATTATAAATTGATTGAAGTTAGAGAGCCATGAAAAACTTGGAAGCACTGCTTGACGGCCGTTTTGATTTTATTACGAGATTCTTCAGTGGCAGTACGCATTCACGATCTTGTCTCGCGAGCGAGATTCGAATCGAGGACCTATCCATCTCGCGCCGGAGCACTTAACCGATAGACCACTGAGCTGGTTAGCATCCAACGGTGTTAATGTCTAACTTCAATCGATCCATGAAATTGAGCAACCATTCACCAAAGTCGTCAGTGAGTTGATATCTCTCAACAGACCTGGTTGAACTCCACTGGTTATATATATTTGAGATTTAATAAATGATGATGTAATTGAAGCTAGAGCACCATAGAAAACCTGGAAGCAGTAGACAACCGTGTCGTCCTATTGTGGGACTCCTTATCATATGCTTACTAGTTACTGGCTTCAAGAGGTATTTCATGAAGTTCTAGTGAGAAACAGTGATCAATGGAGTTCAACCAGGTGTGTTGTGAGATAGTAACTCACTGAAGACAATGGTGGACGGTTGCTCAATTTCATGGATTGGCTGGAGTTAGACATTAAGAGCATCGGATGCCGGCTCAGTGGTTCTAGAGGTCAAGCGCTCGCTTGAGAAACTGATAGGTCCTGGGTTGGGATCTCGTGAGGCGGGATCATGGATGCGCACTGCCACTGAGGAGTCCCACAATAGGACGAAACGGTCGACCAGTGCTTCTAGGTTTTCCTTGGTGGTTTAGCTTCAATTAACTCATGATCTCAACTATTTAAAGTTTTTCAATTCATTTGTTATTTTTTTACTTGAATCTTTTATTGATATTTAATACTGCAATTGATCAGTCTCTAATTGGCATATCTGCATACTGTGCATATTGCCTCGATATAGCCTTAATTCATAAGCATTATAAGCAAAGATGGTTAGTGGCTACTTGATGAGTCCCAAATAGAACGAAACGCACGTCTTGAATTCCAGTGCTATTCACTGTTCATCTTCGCTTATAAAAATTTTTCAACTTTATTATTTTATAAGCTTAAATATATATTGTTGAATAGCTAAAAAATAAGCAAAGAGGAAGTTCTATACATATGTTTGAGGGTTTTTAAAGAAATGATTTAATAAATTATTTGTTATCTGGAGCACCGATTGTACTTTCTTTGATTAGTTTGATAAACTTTGGTGGTCCAGTAAAAGTATAACATACTGATGACCTTAAGCGACTTATCAACCAATCACGAGGGGCTGCTTATTTATAAAATAGTTAAGAGTATAAAGTAATGAAATAACAGTGGGATAACAGTTTTGATTTTAATAACTAACACTCATAAGTCAAATTATCCGTCCTAGTAAAGAAAAAAATGCAGGTTTACATATATGTGTACAGACTAAGAGTCGAGCTAGTATTATGATTCAGGATTATTATCCCATGAAGTTTTCGTCACTGATTGATACATTTATAATGCAGAGTGCTTAGGGTTAGGTATGAGGAGTTAAACTGGAGTTTCGAGTCGGTTTGACAAATTGGGGTCGGGGTTGCCTTGCCATCTTCCTGATTACAAACTTGGGAAACTTGGAGTTGAGATTTTTATTGAAGTAGTAATCGAACGCATCGACAACTTCACTTATCTTCGAAGCCTGATCAGCCTTAATGGGTTGGTGTCTGACGAAATCTCAGCACAGATTAAGAAAGCTAGTTTGACTTTTGCCAACTTACGTCACCTATGGCGAAGACAAGATATTCGTCTATCAATTAAGGGACGAGTATACTGCACAGCAGTTCGCTCTGTTCTACTTTACCGCTGCGAAACGTGGCCGATGAGAGTAGAAGATACTCGTAAGCTACTGATATTTGAGCGCAAATGTCTTAGAAATATTGCTCGCATCTGCTGGGATAACCGGGTAAGTAATAGTGAGGTTAGACACAGGGTATTATGGAACGATGGTAAATCAGTTGATGAGGTCATGAATCTTCATCGACTGAGATGGTTGGGCCACGTGTTACGTATGACTGAACACCTTCTTCGGTTTGGGCACCCGGGCAGTATCACAGCCCACACACACAAATAGTGTGGCGCATATGTACCTGGTGCCCTTTTGTACCAATATATATGTGTTTAAATAAATAATAAATGACTGAACACCGATTACCACGACGCGCTATGCTGACTAGCATTGGCGATGGTTGAAAGAAAATTGGGGGCGGCCAAACTAAATCAGTGCTTGAAGTCACTAAATTCTAGTCTGAGCCATGTTGGTAGATGCAAGCTACTTGTTTGGGGTTCGCGTGACTGCTGAGGAGTCCAATAATAGGACAAAACGGCCGTCAAGCAGTGCTTCCAGGTTTTCAATGGTGGTCTAGCTTCAATTGACTCACGCTTCCAACTATGAAAATACTAAATCTCCACAAAACCCCTTCTGATATTACTCAAGTGTTTTTCCAGAAATCACTCTGGATATCATAAATAGGGTATAAAATTTAATTTTCATTTCATCCAAATCATTAATTTTATTCTAGAATGGCTTTTTCATCAGTAATTATCAAAGTAACTGGTAGGACGAAGATATATCATAGCTCAGGTAGATGATTTAGGTGAAGTTTTGTTCTCTGAGCTGCATGATGGTGTAGTTGTGGGGCTTTGATTGTTCTTCTGAACAACATCATCAGCATAAACGTCAAATAGAAGTGAAGCATCGATTTTAACAGAACAAACTGTGAGTTATATGTGAAGAAATTCGAAAACCTCACTTCTACTTGAAGTTTGTATTCAGAAGAACAATGAAAGCTCCAGGGTCACACCATCCAGCTCAGAGAACAAAAGTCTACCTCAATTCTTGAAAACAACAAAATATATTCTAGGTTGTCATTACAAAATTGTCGATAATTTCAACCATTATACATAAATTATCAGGTTCGCCCCAATCCCTGGACGTTGTGAATCCATTTTTTACTGGTGGGACTATAAGTGGATGTTGCTTAGATACCATGTACTAGAACGAAATAGTTGTTCACCGCTCCCTGGTTTTTGGTAGTAGTTTAACAGAATTCAATTCATGGTGTAGAGTACAAGTTGAGGAGTGACAAAAACGTTAACGTCTAATGATTTATTTAAATTTAGATTCTGTATATAGTATTGTAATGAACGAAGATTCGATTGAGAAAACCAATTTATTACTATATCAGAAGGGGTTTTTTGTGGAGATTTAGTATTTTCATAGTTGAAAGCGTCAATCAATTGAAGCTAGACCACCAGGGAAAACCTGGAAGCATTGGATGGCCGTTTCGTTCTATTGCGGAACTCCTCAGCAGTGCGTATCCACGACCTCGCCTCGCGAGATTCCAACCCAGGACCTACCAGTCTCGCGCCAGAGCACTTAACCGATAGCTTCAATTGATTCAGTAGCTCTGTAAATTATGGAAATTATACTTTAAATACATCATTTCCATATGTTCCTTGAGTTGTCTTTTACATACTTCATTAATCTTTCTATCCCTTTGTTAATCTAATTACTCTTCGTTTTCTTTCCTCACCTCTTTATTTTAACCTTCTGTTGGTAAGTAATCTATTTCCAATTCCTACTAAATATTACTTACGTCTCTCCCCATCAGTAGTTTACACCATAGTATACTTATTTTACTTTTTTTCTTTTCGATTCAAAAGTACTCTCTCTTAAATATGAGTTATTCTTTGCAAAAAAATAATACTAATGTTCTTATAAAATGTTAATTCTTTAATAAGTTCAATTTTCAACTGTCTAATATGTTTTAGTGTTTGTTTTTCATTCAACTCATTCATAAGTATTCATCTGAACAATATTATACTTATCTCTAATGCCCCTAAATGCCCTGGTACGACCGAGAGTGGAGAGAGTCCGATCTCCCTCTCCAAATGCTCTCACATGGCCACGCGTATATAGCCTCTGCCAGGGAAGTCCTACTCACTGCCTTCTCGCACCACGGTTGTTGTTTACGAAATTGAGAAGACGAAAAGCGAATGCCCGGCGCTCTAACCGTGTTGGTGGACACGGAAAGTTCATCTAGGGGAGTTGGAAAACCCTGATTCCAAACCAATGGTGTACATGGGCTCCAGTATCCTGAGAGAACAAATGGAGTATGAATTAATCATTGGTCACCGGCTACCATGAGACTGCATCTCCTCACGATGCTCCACTGCCTTGTGGATCAGATCTTTAGGTCAAAGGCTCCGGTTGTGGCCCCCTAAGAAAACCATCTGTGTCGGTTTGGGCAACTAAACAAAACAATGAATATTTTTTAATGAACATTTATTTAATTTCACTAGTTCAGATCATCAGTCAGTTGAAGCTAGACCACCATAAAAACCTAGAAGCACTGGATGACCGTTGTGGGACTCCCCAGTAGTGCGCATCCACGATCCCGCCCCGCCGTTCAGTGCTTCCAGGTTTTCCGTGGTGGTCTAGTTTCAATTGACTCACGATCTGAACTATTGAAATTACTATAATATCCACAGTACCCTTCTGATATTTATTCAATTGATTTTTATTTGTTCATTTTTTATTTCAAACAAATTTTGTCATGACAACAGTTGATTATTTGAAATAAAGAAACAAAATAGAAAATATTAGTATATTGTAATTTATTCATTCTATTGTAGTGTCGGTTGATATTGTTATGCCCTTATACCTTCTTCTAGCTTCTGAACAAGCCAATTTACCTGTCTATCTTGAGTCATGTTTCGACCTTGTTAATTATTCACTTATTAACCCTGACTATTTTTCATATTAGCGTTTGTGTGTGTACGCTTTTTATCCTATTTATCACATGTCTGTCGTTTATTTTTATCTGACTTTAAATACCGATTGAGGCTTGGTAACAGTGAGTTGGCTTACCCGCCATCTCCAATGCGTGTCATTTATGCTTCGCTGGCTGATATTTGCTCATGTGCTTATAACTTTCTGTCCTGCATCATTTGTCAATAAAACTGTAGTTGCCGCTTCTCTTTACCTTCTGATTTTATACACCGTTAAGATTTGTATTATAACGATGATCGAGGTGAACGATCAACGAAGCACGGCACTACACCATTCTTTATCAATATCAATTTTTTAATTTCTACTTATAAATTTTTATATTTACATTTCTTTTGTGTTTATTATGATCCATATGTTTACTATCAATATATTATTGTATTAGTTTACACGAATCCATTGAATAGTTATTAAATTAGTCAAAGATAAGAATAAATTCACTTGGTGCTGTTTACTTGTATCTTCCTATTGTTATTTAGGACTGCAATTGATCAGTCCCTTGTTGGCATCCTGTGCGGACTGCCCCAACACTCCCTGAAGTCACAAGTTTTATAAGCAAAGATAGATAGAGTGAACATCAACTCTGAAATGCAAGTACATCCAGCTGACGAGCCCCAAATAGGACGAAACACGCGTCCTGGACTTCACTGCTAGTCATTGTCCATCTTTACTTATAAAGTTTATGACTTCAGGCAATATCGAGGATGCACAGATGCCAATAAGAGACTGATCAATTGCAGTCCTAAATAACAATGGGAAGATACAAGTAAACAACAGCAAGTGAATTTAAACTTCACCCCATTGCACAAGCAGGTGGCTATCAGGATTCAGTAGCTAAGTTGATAACGCGATGGCGTTCGAAGCGATCATCACTGGGTTCGAATCCCAGAGTGAACGTCAACTCTGAGATACAGGTACATCTGTCTGACGAGTCCCAAATAAAACGAAACATGAGTCCTAGATTCCACTTTTAGTCACTATCCATCTTTGCTTAAAAAAACAAGAATAGTTTTGGGGAGTTTTTTGTTTGCTTTCGTTTCTAAGGTCAGTAATACTCTTTACTGTTAATATAAACTATACATAATAATATTGATAGTAATCACAATAATACAATAATAGGGCTAGAACTATCATAGGAGTTTTAGTTAGTAACTAATACTCATAATCTAAATAGTTTGTTTTGTTTTGTTTTTGTTTATTTACTTTACTATTTACGTTATTTATTCTCATTGGTTTTCTATTTCTTAGTTTTAAAATCATCAAATCTATTGTCCTCATAATCAGCATGATTATACTGAAGGTTACATAGTACAAGGAAGTGAGGTCATTATTAGTTAGTAAAGTATAAATAAACATCTATTCTTTTTGTAAGCAAAGATGGATAGTGACTAGCAATGGAATCCAGTACATGCGTTTCGTCCTATTTGGGACTCGTCAGCTGGATGTACCTGCATCTCAGAGTTGATGTTCACTCTGGGACACGAACCCAGTGCCTTTCGCTTCAAGCGCCATCGGGTTATCTACTCAGCTACTGAGTCCTGATAGCCACTTGCTTGTGCAATGGGGTGAAGTTTGAATTCACTTGGTATTGTTTGTTTGGATCTTCCCATCGATGTGTTTCGGACTGCAACTGGTCAGTCTCTAATTGGCATATGTGCATACTGTGCGTATTGCCTCGATATACCTTAATTCACAAGCATGGTAAGCAGAGATGGATAGTGGTTAGCAGTGGAATCCAGGACGCGCGTTTCGTCCTATTTGGGACTCGTCAGCTGGATGTACCTGCATCTCAGAGTTGATGTTCACTCTGGGACTCGAACCCAGTGCCTTTCGCTTCAAGCGCCATCGGGTTATCCACTCGGCCACTGAGTCCTGATAGCCACTTGCTTGTGCAATGGGGTGAAGTTTAAATTACTTTGGCATTGTTTGTTTGAATCTATTCGTTTTATTTTTCTTCAACTCAATAAAGCACAGTAAAAGTTTTAATTGTTTGTTAATATTGAGCTTAAATAAAACTTGGTTAGCCTCCGTTAGAAATGGATTATCTGTATCATATAAAATGCTTTCGTTTAAAGATATGCTGAATTAGTGATTGATTTTAACTAGTTGAAAGCGTGAGTCAATTGAAGCTAGACCACCATGGAAAACCTAGAAGCACTGGACAACCGATTCGTCTTATTATGGGACTCCTCATCAGTGCGCATTCACGATCCTGCTCACTAGTGACTGACTTCGAGAGGTAAATCCAGGAGTTCTAATGAGAACCAGTGATCAGTGGAGTTCAAACCGTGTCTGTTGTGAGGTATCAACTCACTGAAGACGATTGGTGAACGGTTGCTCAACTTCGTGGATCAGTTGAAGTTAGACATTAACACCGTTAGATGCCGGCTCAGTGGTCTAAAGGTTAGGTGTTCGCGCATGAGACCTCAAGTCCTGAGTTCGATTCTCGTGCTCGGAGTTGTAGATTGACGCTGCTGATGAGTCTCAGACTACAATGAAATGGCTTTCTTGTTTTCAATAGTGGTCCAGCTTAGATCAGTTCAACATTGCATTACCCCTTTTGAATTATTCCAACATTTAACCTTGGAAATTGATTTGATCTTCTTCAAAAACATAAACAGAAAATCAAACTTACAAACTATAATATGCTAAAATTATCATCCAATCATATTAAATTAATAATTTTATTTGTAGTAAGATAATGAATTTCTAGCTATGGAACATCAATGGGAAGATTCAAACAAACAATACTAAGTGAATTTAAACTTCACCCCATTGCACAAGCAAGTGGCTATCAGGACTCAGTAGCTGAGTAGATAACGCGATGGCGTTTGAAGCAAAAGGTGCTTGGTTCGAGTCCCAGAGTGAACATCAACTCTGAGATGCAGGTACATCCAGCTGACGAGTCCCAAATAGTACAAAGTGACGCGCATCCTGGATTCCACTGCTAACCAGTATCCATCTTTGCTTATAATGCTTGTGAATTTAGGCTATATCGAGGCAATACGCGCAGTATGCACATATAACCAATAAGGGACTGATCAGTTGCAGTCCTAAAAACATCAATGGTAAGATTCAAACAAACAATACTAAGTGAATTTAGCTATGGAATGTTTACATAAAATGAATGCTAATTCATAAACAATTTTAATTAAGAAATAATTTAAGCATTCTAGGTCAACTTTATACTCATTAAATGATTAAACCTTCTTATGAACATATTTTTATGGTTTAAAAAGAAAAAGATTCATGTATTGTTCTGTTTATTGTTTCATGGAAAAATTCATAAACTGTTACAAATTTTTGTAAATAGAAACTAAATTTATCAATCCTGTTTTTGTTTAACTTAAAAACGTTTATAGAGTTGAGATCATGAATCAATTAAAGCTAAATCACCATGGAAAATCTGGAAGAACTGGACGACCGTTTCGTCCTATTGTGGGACTCCTCAGCAGTGCGCATGTTTTCCATGGTGATCTAGCTTCAATTGACTCATGATCTCAACTTTATAAAATTACTAAAATCTCCACAAAACTCCTGATAAAAACGTGTACACAAATATTTATTTATTTGAACACATAAATGTTGGTACAAAGGGGAACCAAATACATATGCACCATACTTCGTCATCTGATTTGTGTGAGGGCTGAGATAATCTCCAGGTGCCCAAACCGAAGCAGGTGGTTTTCTAGGAGGTGCACTCACCAAGCCTTCAACCCAAAGGTTTAATCCACAAAGGCAGTGCAGCAACGTAAGAAGATGCAATTCCATGGTAGCTGGTGACAAACAATTGGTTCATACTCCATCTTTTCCTTCAGGATCCTTGAACCCATTTATATCATTGGGTTTTCCATTTCTCTTAGCTAGATCCTCCATATCCACCAACCCAGTTTAAGCCCTTACGGGACATTTGCTTTTTGTCCTCTCCAATGTGTAAACAGCACCCGTAGTGCGAGAAGGCAGAGGACAGGACTTCTTTGGTAGTGGCTGTATACGCATAGCCATGTGAGAGCATTTGGAGAGGGAGAACGGATTCTCCTCACTCTCATCGCACCAGGGACAAGTATACTTTACATGCATACCAGTGACATATAGGTTCTCATTTATGCATCCTATGGTATATACTAGGTATAGTTACCCCTTGGCAGGGTAAATAGTAACATTTCCCTTCTTTTTTATTTGCTGCCTATCATTCTTGTTTTGTTTACTGATCTGTTTTTTTTGTGTTTAGTTGAACTGCTTTTTTGACATAAGGGAAGAATGTATCACTAGTTATTTTCGATCGAGCCCAGTGCGTACCACTTGAATATATCTACATACGAAATTACACATTCCACGACTCGTGCAATTTAGTTGTATATGCATACACAAAGAGCACCACCTTTACGATTTTTGGTCTTTGGGATTCCAGGTTACAGTAGAATGGTAGATTAGTTTGATCTCCACCGATCTCTCAGGTTAGCTAATGAGGTGGCCCCCATTACCCAGCAGCTTCACGTAGAGGCCTTAGGCCGGATTTCTCTGCCTTATTCGGCTGTACTAAAAATAACTCCTAAGATGAAATCATTATGTTTGTTTGAAGCAACTTGAAGATTTCTAGTATTCTTCACGTACGTTGGTGTGTGAAAATTTTACATGCAATAACTATCGCTGGTTCTTGTGAATCTACTAAATTTTATTTAGGAGTCAGAAGTCTTATTAGACTGTTTTTAAATCTAAGTAATTTTGTGAAAATTAATGTCAATGATCATAGACTACCTTGTAGTTGTCCCTTCTTTTATTTAACTAATTCTCGTCCTTTTTTTTAAACTACTTTCACGAATTAATTATTCTACAGACAAGAAAACCAGTATGTGATTGATCAATGGCAACATCTTCGTCCAGGCGATTTTGTTCGTTTACACACTAATGATATAATTCCAGCTGATATTTTATTATTAGCTACATCAAATAGTACTGGTATTTGTCATATTGAAACATCAAATTTAGATGGTGAATCTAATTTGAAACAACGTGAAATTATTCCCAATTTATCGAATAAAGTAAGTTTGAAATAATGATAGTTTTTTTCGGCCTGAATTTTTGATGGTTTTCAATAGTGGTCTTGGATCTATCCATTCATGATATCAATTTTAAACTCAACAATCTCCACAACCCCTATACTGATATTGATGAGTTGTCATTTGGATCCGTCTATGTTACAATGCATGTTTTGAATTATACAATTTGTCACCAAATAATGTTCATTATTACAATAGCACATATGTAACCTAGTGTATTGTGTTTTATTTATTATTTATTTAAACACATAAATATTGGTACAAGGGGCACCAGATACATATGCGCCATACAAATCTCATTTGATTTGTGTGTGGGCTGTGTTACTACCCAGGTAGGTGCCCAAACTGAAGCAGGTGGTTTTCTTAAGCGACCACACCCGGAGCCTTTGACCTAAAGGTCTGATCCATAAGGCAGTGGAGCATCGTGAGGAGATGCAGTCCCATGGTAAGCGGTGATCAATGATTGATTCATACTCCATTTGTTCCCTCAGGATACTGGAGCCCACGTGCACCATTGGTTAGGAATCAGGGTTTTCCAACTCCTCTAGGTGAACTTTCTGTTTCCACCAACCCTGTTAAAGCGCCGGACATTCGCTATTCGTCCTCTCGATTTCATAAGCAACACCCGTGGTGCGAGAAGGCAGTGAGTAGGACTTCCCTGGCAGAAGCTATATACGCGTGGCCATATGAGAGCATTTAGAGAGGGAGAGCGGACTCTCTCCACTGTCGGCCGTATCAGGGCATTTGGGGGTATTGTGTTGATAATGATGAAATCACAGCAGATTTAAACTGACGAATCCTGACTATTTCAATGTCGAAATACCGTTAAGTATTACAACAAGTATTTCAAGAAAGTTGTTTAGAAATAACACCTCTCACTGATGGTTTATCATGATAGTTTTATGTAAACAGTCATTTATCTTTATTAACATGATTTTTTATTATTTTCCAGGATGAATTTTCACCACTGACATTTCTTTATCCAATTGAAGTAGAAGCCCCAAGTGCTGAATTATACAAATTCCATGGGAAAATGTACGTTATGTAATATAAATCTAACTTGATATTTGTTGTAATAATAGTTAAATATTTCAGTTTATACGAAAAGATTTTATTCGTTTCATCAGTTTGATATTCTTTAACGAGTCTACTTTATTAGGTGAATTACTCACTTATTGATCAGAAGGGGTTTTGTGGAGAATTTAGTATTTTCATAGTTGAAATCATGAGTCAATTGAAGCTAGACCACCATCAAAAATTTGGAAGCACTGGACGGCCGTTTCGTCCTATTACGGGACTCCTCAGCAGTGCGCATCCACGATCCCGCCTTGCGAGATTCGAACCCAGGACCTACCAGTCTTGCACCAGAGCACTTGAGATCTGATGACATTACAATAGGTTGACAAAAAAGGGTAATTAGTGTATTTAAGTATATCTGTATAAATACTAGTATGTTTTCATTATCCATTTAAAAGCTTATCATAATTCAAATTAATATGTTTTAGATATATAATGTATGATTGACGATTGACTGGTAACCTAACTAACTATATGACATTTCAAACTGTCAAGACTAAGGTTTTAAAACCGATGAAGACGAACACTGGAAGTTGAAGTCGTATTTTGAAGTCAGAAAAGGAGTAATTTCTAGTTCACTGACTTTGAGGTCATTTATTTTTAACTAGAAATTTAACATATGATCAGGAGTATGAAATTGTCTTACTCAGCTCCGAAATGCCCTGGTATAGTGAAGTGTGGGGAGGGTTCGCTCTCCTTCTCCAAACACTCTCACATCGCCATATGTAAACAGCCACTGTCAGGGAAGTCCTACTCACTGCGTTCTAGTGGCAGGTGTGTTGTTTACGAAATTGAGGGGACGAAAAGGGAATGTCCAGTAGGGGCTTAAACCGGGTTGGTGGATATGGAGGATCTAGCTAAGGGAGTTGGAAAACCCTGATTCCAAACCAATGGCGTACATGGGTTCAAAGATCCGGAAGCAAAAGATGGAGTAAGAACTAATTGTTTGTCACCGGCTATCATATGACTGCATCACCTTACGTTGCTGCATTGCCTTGTGGATTTGACCTTTAGGTTGAAAGCTCGGAGAGTGGTCATCTAAGAAAACCACCTGTTTCGGTTTAGGCACCAGGACAGTATCTCAGCCCTCACACAAATCGAATGACGAAATGTGTTCATATATATTTTGTGCCTCCTTGTACCAATGTTTATGTGTGTCATTTATGCTTTTTTCTTAACTGATATTGATTACAAACTATTACTTACTTGCTTACACCTGTTACCCCTCCTTGAGTAGCATAGGCCGCTCACAAGCATTCTCCATCCAACCCTGTCATGGGCAATCCTCTCAAGTTCTTTCCAGTTAACATTCATCCTTTTCATATTTGTTTCTATTTCCCGACGTAATGTGTTCTTTGGCCTTACTGTTTTCTACTTCCCTTCCGGATTCCAAGTTAGGGATTGCCTTGTAATGCACATTGGTGATTTACTCAATGTATGTCCGATGTACTTCCAACGTCTTTTCCTAAATTTCTCTCCAGCTGGAAGCTGGTTTTTCCTCTCCCATAAAACGCTGTTGCTGATAGTATCCGGAAAATGTGTACTTGAAGCTACTAAATATATAGAACTCTGTTGTACAAAAAAACCTGCTACAATTGTAGAATATTTCTATGTGCTTCAGAATTATGTAACTTTGAAAAAACGTATCGTGCACTGATATCATTCGATGAGATCCATTATGTCATATAAGCTCCTGTTTTTATTACTTACTTACTTTACTTACTTTCGCCTGTTACTCCCAATGGAGCATAGGCCGCCGACCAGCTTTCTCCAACCCACTCTGTCCTGGGCCTTCTTTTCTAGTTCTTTCCAGTTCTTGTTCATTCTTCTCATGTCTGTCTCTATTTCTCGGCGTAATGTGTTCTTTGGTCTTCCTCTTCTCCTTCGACCTTCAGGATTCCATGTGAGGGCTTGTCTTGTGACACAATTGGGTGATTTCCTCAAAGTGTGCCCAATCCACTTCCAGCGCTTCTTCCTGACTTCTTCCTCCGCTGGAATCTGGTTTGTTCTCTCCCACAGTAACTTGTTGCTGATAGTGTCTGGCCATCGGATCCGAAGTATCTTGCGTAGACAGCTGTTAATAAACACTTGTATCTTCTGGATAATGGCTTTCGTAGTTCTCCACGTCTCTGCCCCATACAGAAGAACTGTCTTGACATTTGTATTGAAAATTCTAACCTTGGTGTTGGTTGACAATTGTTTTGAGCTCCAGATGTTTTTCAGCTGTAGGTATGCTGCTCTTGCTTTGCCGATCCTCGCCCTCACATCTGCATCTGATCCACCGTGTTCATCAATGATGCTGCCCAGATATGTAAAGATTTCCACATCCTCCAAAGCTTCTCCGTCAAGTGTAATTGGATTGGTGCATATTGTATTGTATCGGAGAGTCTTGCTAACCAGAAAAAATTCCTGTTTTTATATTACAATTTAAATCATGAATATTTAATCATTTTTTATATTTATGTAAAGGTGTACTTTGTGTAAATTGTTATTCCATTCTACCGATCTAAGTTAGACCATTAATAAAAACCTGGAAGCACTGGTCAGCTGTTTCGTTCTAGTATGGAACTCCACAGCAGTGAACATCCATGACTCAATGGTCTAAAGGCTAGGCGTTCACGCACATGACTGAAGGCTCTGGGTTCGATTCCAGTGCTTGGAGTCGTGGATGCTCATTGCTGAGGAATCCCGTAATAGGATGAAATAGCTACCTAGTGCTTTCATGTTTACAATAGTGATTTTACTTAAATTAGTTCACAATCTCAACGAATATTTTACATCTTTTTTTAAACAAGTATGATTTTGAAACTCCCTAGAGAATCATAGTAACTAAGAGAATGACTAACATATTCAACACAGTAATTAAGATTATTTAGTATATATATATATTGAAAATGAAGTCATATATATTATTTTTCATAGTTGCAATCATGAGTCATTTGAAGCTAGTTCACCAAGGAAAACCTGGAAGCACTGGATGGCCGTTTTGTCCTATTATGGGACTCCTCAGCATATATATTAACTCATTTTCACTTACGTAGTTTTATTATATTTCAATCAGGTCAAAACTATAAGCAATTTGCTTTTATTAGAATGTAACATGCAAAGAAATATTAACTAGTATCTTTCAGTTTGTTTCATCATTATTTTTTTTCCTTTTTTCAAGTCTACTTCCAGATATACGTATTCCTATTCACAAGAATAATATGCTACTAAGAGGTTGTGTATTACGTAATACTGATTACGTAATAGGTATTGTTATATATGCAGGTAAGTATCAAATCAATATCTATTTGTTAATAAAAATTATATACATATCGGTACTAATTTTTTAAAATAATAATGTTTAATCAGAAAGGGTTTTGTGGAGATTTAAGTATTTTTCGTAGTTGAAATCATGAGTCAACCACGTCTGTTGTGAGATAACAACTCACTGAAGACAATTGGTAAACGGTTGCTCAAACTTCGTGGATTGGTTGAAGTTAGAGATGAACACCGTTGGATCCCAGCCGGCTCAGTGGTCTATCGGTTGACTGCTCACGCGCAAGACTGTTAGGTCCTGAGGTACGAATCTCGTGAAGGTGGGATCGTGGATGCGCGCTGTTGAGGAGTCCCACAATAGGACGAAACGACCGTCCAGTGCTTTCAGGTTTTCCATGGTATTCTAGCTTCAATTGACTCATCATTTCAACTATAAAAAATAATAATGTTTACTGATCATCAGATACCATTGTAGTGCACATTCACAGTGTGGTAACAGTGGGAAAGCAACTTAAGTTAATTTTAATAAATATTTCGGAAGATGCAATATAACTTCCTAATCCAAAAAGAAGTCTACAGTTTCCGATTTAAAAATGCGCTTAAGAGGAACTCTAAGCCAAAACATAACAAGTACATTATTATATCGTGATTAAGAAGTACAGAGTATTTGTTTTCATTGTATACTCAACAAATGATTATAATCATATACATTCGGTCTCGTAGTGTGTACATTTCAATCCAACAAGAGAATCCAGGTAATCACATTTTCAAATATCAATAATTTTATGACAACACAATCATTATCTATGGTTATCAATCGGTCTCTATGTTCACTCAAAAATGAATTGACATGCTTTCCGTTTGAGAGTTGTGAAGGCTTCAGTGTTAGGAGGGCCGTCAACTCCGATATTAAGGACTTCTGTGGAGTTTGAAAGATGAAATAAATGAGTATGCAAAGTTTTTTTTTGACATTAAATATTTATACAGATAGAGTTAAAACTTTAGAAGTGACCATTTTTACATCATTCAAAATTTTTTCAAATTCTCTCACTGGGTGAATATTTTGAACTAAAAATCTGTACATAGTATATGTAAGTGATTAATTTATGATAAGTAACTAATAGTCGCCTTATCTACTTCCTTATTTTAATAGAATTCTGTCAGTTATATTACAATGTGAGCACTGTATAGTCAATCATTTTAAAACATTTAGTGCTACAAGAAGTCAGTCATAGACCCTTAAATGCCCTGATACTGTCATGAGTGAGGAGAGTCTTCTCTTCTGCATGAAATCCTCTCACATAGCCACGTGCATACAACCACTGCCTGAGAAGTCCTACTCATTGCCTTCTCGCGGCGGTGTTGTTTACCAAAGTGAGATGACGAAAAGCGAATATCCGGCGCTTTAAACCGGGTTAGTGGATACGGAGAATCCACCTACAGGAGTTGTAAAATCCTGATTTTAAACGAATGATTTACATGGGTTCAAGGATCCGGAAGCAAAAGACGGAGTAAGAACCAATTTTTTATCACCGGCTACCATGGGATTGCATCTCCTTTCGTTGCTGCAATGCCTTGTGGATTAAACCTTTGGATTGATGGCTCGGGAAGTGGCCTCTCTAGACAAGCATCTGCTTTAGTTGTAACACTCGGACAGTATCTCAGCCCTCACACAAATCGAATCACGAAACGTGGCGTATATATATTTTGTGCCTCCTTTTACTAATGTTTATCTATTTAAATAAATAAACAACTCATCAATAACATATTTAACTCTAATGGTAATCTCTATGGTCTTGAGTCTCATACAGAGCATCAGTTCTTTCAAGATTGTAGTTAATGTATGATAACAGTTGACAATAGATACAAAACCAATCCTCATCGATGTTACCCATTTGCCTTCAACTACTTAACAGTAAATTTTGATTTCAATAAATAGATCATTTGCTTAAGAAATATTACAGTCAAAACCGGTAAAACACAACCCTCGAAACAGTAGTTAATGGTTCTTATCATAAATCATATAATTGATTATTTATCATAGAAAAGTCAAAAGGTACAAAGTCACTAAGTAGGTATTTATTGATTTTTTTTCTCTTGACTTTCATTTCGATTTTCTATGAACTTCAGTGCTTAATCTGCAGAGTATTTATCAATCGATTATGTAATTTAAGTTCACGATCAATTAACTGAGTTGTATCAAATTGTATGAGCAAACAAATCATCCAGTTTCCAAGTAAAAAACAAAAACAAATTATCTCTCTTTTGTTATTCTATATCACATGCTGGGTTTATTTTGATAACCACTTGAATCAAGAAACACTGGACAGCTGTTTTGTCCTATTTCGAAACTCAGCAGTGGGTGAGGGATCGGTCCCATAACTTTCAAGCCTCGAAGTGAACGCTTAAGCTTCATATCATTGATTCTGCATTTAGTTGTTTACATTTATAATTTCAGTCAGTTCACGATATTGTACAACTATCATTCACTGTCACTGATTTTGTCAATGCATAATGATAACATAGTTAAAATAATGTCCGATTAACTGACAGTCGTATTACCAATTATCCAAGATCTGTAGTGGTAATGTATATTCTCAAACCATAAAAAAACTTTAGTCAATAAAATTTTCTAATCTTAATGTTCTGTTTAAAGGTTGTGAAACAAAGGCAGCTTTGAACAATTCTGGTGTCCGATTTAAGAGAAGTAAACTGGAAAAACAAATTAATATGGATGTTATATGGTGTGTACTTATTCTAGTTTTAGTCTGTGTCACTGGAGCTATTGGTAAGTTAATGGTGACCGGCAAAAGTTTACTTTATTTCGATAGCCCACATAATTGAAAAAAAAAGATAATTGTAAATACATAAATAGTCTATGACAATAGTACCATAATTTACATGATTGACCGAAGGACATGACGATGTTGCAAAATTTTGGTTATGATCAAACCATTAAATGGGAAGTGATCGTAATTTTCATATATCTGCGTTAAAGGTTTATGTTGAACTGTTCCGATCATCTTTATTTGTTGTATGTGTTGGGGAGTTCCAAAGTATGCTTTTGAAAAGTTCATATGGGTCCAAGAAACGCTGAGAAACATTTTATCCAATTATTGTTAAATAGAAGCTTCTAGAAAGCGAAGAGCCACGTGTCACGTTTCTGATTGAATGTTTACCTATGCTATTACTATATTCAGTATGTTTCTTGAAAATTCCTTAGACCCCAGAGTCGTCTGTATTATTATAAATACCCTCGTTTCGCTGTACATGTGGCTTGAGACTAAGTCTTTTTTTAGTGCTTCATGGACATGATACTTTACTTGTGCTTTATGTATACTGCAATAGTCTATTTCAAAAATATTCCTTTCTTAAAAGTTCAGTGGCTTTTTATTGTATAGATAATTTAATTTATGTGAATTCTGTCTTTTGATTTAAATATATTACTAAGCAATTTCATAGTTTAAATCACCAACTTATCTTAACTAAAGTTCCAGAGTGAACATCAACTCTGAGATGTAGGCACATCCAGCTGACGAGTCCCAAATAGGATGAAACGCGTGTCCTAGATTCCACCGCTTGCCGCTATCCATCTTCGCTTAACTAGAACAGTATTAAAAGCTTGAAATCACTGGATAACTGTTTCTTCCTAGTATAGTGCTCGACCTCTCAACAATGCACATCGATGATCACATTGAGTGGTCTAGCTTAATGATTGATTTGTGATTTATACTATAAAAGTTTTAAAATCCTTATACTATTAAGTGTTCAATAATCAATAACATTTTTAGACAAATTTATTAACCCTTAAGTACCATTTGTAATGTTACAATGGAATAAACTTATTAAAACTTTATTTTCTAAATTCCAACTTCAAAGGTGTACCCATATTACTTAAGATGTAATACCGACATATACTTCAGTGTGTTATAATTATATTTTGCTATATAAACGACCCAGCTATTCCTATTGCTTAGTATTCTTATATCAATGACATTCGACAAGACCCCAAAAATCAGAACACGTTGAACAGGAATGAAATTGTATTCACAAATAACAATGATAAGTGAACAGCAATCACTGATTTGAATAACGTTCATATATTTATACATAAGAAGCTTCTAGATTTTTCTTCAATAATATGCTCGGGCTGATCGGTTTAGAATTAGCCAATCAGTGCTCAGCAACACCATCATGCATGAAACATGCTTTAATCCAATCTATATCCCATTAACAAAATGCTTTAATAAGTACTAACATTCATTATTGTATTGTATGAAGTAACAGATTTAGTTGGGCGACCTATGCTCTTCCACGAGGGGTAATAAGCGTAAGTAAGTAATTAAGTAACAGATTTAGTCAAATATTTTGTAGAAATTGATTATATTGGGAAAAATAGTCTTTATTTCTCAGCCAGCCGTTAGAAAATTTAGGGAATACCAAGTAGTTATTTTGTTTTCATCATTATTCACACGATGAATGGATTTATTTTTACTGCCCTTGAAAATTTATCATTTGAAGACTTTTACGTAGACATTTACACTATTTGAGGCATCTTAGACAATCAACTCACTTTTGAAAAACCTTGGTTTCTATTCAAATGTGGGGTCTAGAAATATTAGAAGTTTTTCTGCCTAAAATCCAGTTTACATTATTTTGTGATATCTAGGCTATTTAATTCTATCTCAACATGGATATGCTTAAATAAAGTTATTAACATGAGATATTAAAATATTTTGTTTAATTACTGTATAAAGTAATTACATATACTCTATGTTATCAGTATGGAAGATTTCCGGAGAGTTAGAAGCAGTGGCTAGTGGAGCTCAAACCACGTTTGTTGTGAGATAGGAACTCATTGAAGACAATTGGTGAACGGTTGCTCAACTTTGTGGATTGGTTGGAATTAGACATAAACACTACCGAGTGCGGGCTCAGTGGTCTATCGGTTAAGTGCTCTGGCGCGAGACTAGTAGGTCCTAGGTTCGAATCTCGCGAGGCGAGATCGTGAATACACATTGCTTAGGAGTCCCACAATAAAACGAAACGGCCGTCAAGCAGTGCTTCCAGATTTTCTCTGGTGGTCTAGCTTCAATTGGCTCACGCTTCCAACTATGAAAATAATAAATCTCCACAAAAAACCCTTCTGATGATAATATTTTCACAGTTGAAATCATGAGTCGATCTAAGCTAGACCACTATTTAAAATCTGGATACACTGAACAGCCGTACTCACTAGTGACTAGTTTCATGGTATAACTCTTGGACTGTTATAACGCGTGGGTGTGCCAGTTGTTATATCGATTAGATGCCCAATTAAAGAGAGAGGAGTGAATTTATTGATCGGACGCAAATGATACATAAAATTGTACGAGTAGTCTTGATTACTTGTCAGTCCTCCTAAATGCCTAACCCAGACAGTTGAATCCAGAACACTAATAACAGCCGCGGCAATATGGATCATTATTCACAAGCATACTGGGTTTATATACAAACCAAACAGACCACATCGTACCAAAAAATAGAAAATAACATTTGTACAATAATTGGCCAAATGTGGCTGTGGATAGGGGGAAAGTAATCAATAATAAGTCAAAGGTCAAAATAATACGAATATGAATAGTTTAGTTACGTAACAACTATACAATAGGAAATATACATATTACATTGGTCGATAAATAGTCCTCAAAAGTTATCATTCATAATTCACCAGGGGATATAACATGGACTTCCAGTGAGAATCTGTGACTAGTGATGTTCAACTATGTTGCATGTGAGATAGTTATCCACCTCAAGCAATTGATGAAAGGTTGGACAAGATCATGAATTGATTGAAATTAGACATTGACACCATTGGATGCAGACTGAATGGTGTAGATTTTGAGCGTTCTTGTGTGAGACGAAAGGTACTGGGTTCGATTCGCACATGTGGAATCATGTATGCACACTGCTGAACATTTTGTTACTAGGACGAAACGGTCGTCCAGAGCTTCCAGGTTTACCATGGGGGTCTAGCTTAGATCGACTCGTAGTTTTAACCGTGAAAATATACTCTATGTGTTGAAGTGGTAAAGGTTTATCGCTCAGAAGCATGGAAACCACGCGAATAAATCACTCAGGGTAGAGAAAGCAATTACAAAAATTCGTATTTTTTTTGTTTTAGGTAGTGCTGTTTGGCATCAGAATTTACCAGGTGATGATGTATTGTTCGTGGCGCTTGATAGAAATTCTTCAACTTCAACACCTGCTTACCAAGGTTTTCTCAATTTTTGGAGATTTGTAATCATTTTTCAGGTGAGTTAATCGCAGTAATTATTCGTAACGATTTGTAAAGAATGACTGAAAGTAGAAGCGCTGTATATATGGGTTGATAAGAACAGCCTGAACAGAAAGGATATTGTTCAACTAGCAATTACTTGGCAAATGTTCGTTAATAAGTAATTGAATCCTTTCTCTATCTAACCTGTTTATTTCACGTGTATCGTTATTCTGACAGAAATTAGTCTACGTTATTTTAACACTTATTTATTTATTTATTTGAGCAAATAAATATTGGTACAAAGGAGCACCAAATACATATGCATCACACAAATCTTATTTGTTTTGTGTGAAAGCTGTGATACTACACGGGTGCCCAAACCGAAGCAGGTGGTTTTCTTAGGGGGCCACACCCCGAGCCTTTGACCTAAATATCTGATCCACAAGGCAGTGGAGCATCGTGAAATGCAGTCGCATGGTAGCCGGTGATCAACGATTGATTCATATACCATTTGTTCCCTCAGGATACTGGAGCCTATGTGCACCATTGGTTTGAAATCAGGGTTTTCCAACTCCCCTAGGTGGACCATCCGTGTCCATCGATCCGGTTAAAGGGCCGGACATTTGATTTTCGTCCTCTTAGTTTCGTAAACAACACCCCCGCCACTATGAGAAGTCAGTGAGTAGGACTTGTGTGGCAGAGGCTATATACGCGTGGCTATATGAGAGCATTTGGAGAGGAAGAGCAGACTCTCCCCACTCTCGGCAGTACAAGGATATTCGGGGGAAGTGGTGCGCATCCACGATCTTGCCCCGCGAGATTCAAACCCAGGACTTACCAGTCGCGCGCCAGAGCACTTAACCGATAGATCCCTGAGCCATTTTAGCACTACAATTATGTATTTGATAATTCTCATTTTACATGCATATCAAACGATTCAGAAACTATTTCAAACTTCAAGTGGCACTTTTATTTTTGCTTCTAACTCAATCTTACACATACATACATACACAACCATTCATTCATTTATTTTCATATTATGAACTTTTCACATGATCCACATGTAATTTACTCATGTTATCCTACTCACTAAAGTCAACAATTGAACATGGTTGGATTAGCACAGGATAGATTCGATTGTTAAACACTATAGATTGCTTTGATGATTTTGATCTTGATTATTACCCTGAAGAAGTCCAGACAAGTTAGCGGGATGAAACGTCGGAATTATTTAGATTTCAATCTCTGAAACCATTTTATATATAATTTTCACTGATGGTTTCTCTATACTCGGCGTCAAATTTTTGTTTAACTATTCGTTCTAATATTGACGAGTATTTGTATAAATCTTTAAAATAACTTTCAAATGTATCAAATTTCTGTTATTCAATATAACTGAAAGAAGATAAATTAGTTTTAGAAAGTCAGTTTCGTATTTCAGATTTGAACTGTATTCAAGTCAACGTAAATTGTACAACTGGGTAGTATTGTTGTAGTGAATGGCACTCGTAAGATTGCTTACAAGTATTTTGTAGTGGAACATCTCTTGGAAGTTGCAATAATCGGCAGCTGAAGAGAAGATTTTCAGGAGATCAAAAAACAACGGAATAAGCAGAATACTTTGGAGACCCAAATAGAAACAAGAGAAGACAATCGAGAAACAACTTGGATTGCATGATACAATAGGATATCGATGGATAACTCGAGATTAGGTGTACATATTGCATAAACATTCTATCATTTCACTACATATATGTATTCCTTCTACCCAGTGTCTTGTTCTATATTATAGGATGAATTTTGAGAAGGCTGAAACTTTATGAGCTATTTTTAAGATTATTATTGCTTATATCTTTATTGTATTAATTATTAGATAAATTTATGGTTGGATTTCTTTAATACTTTTATTTAAGCCTTCATCTGTCGCTATACAATTTATAATCCCTTAATTATTGCTAATTAATTATGTACAGTTTACTTCGCCATCTAGCACTTATGGTATGATAATCTTTAAAGTATAATATTATAAATTGGTGTGCTGTACAATACATTATAGCATGAGTTTTAAGTCATAATCGAGTACAATAAAGAACCATTTTGCTTCCTGTATATGTTTCCTGGTTAGCTACTGGATTAGAAGAAACTTGAGGACCAATAAGCGTTAAGGCCTTGGATGTAACTCATTGATCGGTATGTCACTTCTTGTAATAGGAAGTAGCCTCTTTTACTGACCATATAGGTTGGCTAATCGATAATCGGAATCGTAATTTGGCGATACAACACATGATATCGACTAATGCTCGAACCACAACAAATTGCTGATCATAAGACGACAAGTAGTATTTCTAGCCCTTTCAAAAGTGTATAGGTAATAGCTGAGTATAAGAATTCAATGATTTCGATGATCATTTTCATTAGTACCATTCCTTACATGAATTCTTAATCGTGAGAAGTTTCAGGAAAAAAGGGAACACCTGACTTGTAGTTTGATTGATGTAATGAATATCCAAGTTGAATTTCTTCATAAATCTCAAATTTATTTGTTGATTTAAAATGTGGATGTATGATTGACCGAACGCTGAATTCTATCACGTTTAATAGTTTGTTTGACATTGCTAACAACGAGATCTTATCTATACTAATAAAAGTGATTAACGTAAATGGCTATTACAAATTAGTCATCGAACTTTCTAATTGTTAGATTAAAATAAACAGTGAATAACTTGACGTGTAAGTTCCATCAATAGACATTCTGATTACTCCTGTGGCTGTGGTTGAAACTGTGAATTCACGTTTTGTCGTATTTGAAATCCTTCAATTTCATTTATCGCCCTGAAGCAATTGATGAAGGGTTGAATATGATAATGGATTAATTGAAATTAGACATTGATTCCGTTGGATGCCGACTGAATGATGTAAATGTTGAGCATTCTTGTATGAGACTGAAGGTACTAGGTTCAATTCGCACATATAGAATCATGTATGCACACTGCTAAAGAGTCTCATATTACTACGAAATGTACAGGTTTTTAATGATAGTCTGGTTAAGATCACCTGTTCATGATTTCAACTATGAGAACTGTATAATCTCCGCAAAATCCTCAATCCCCCCCCCAAAAAATCCCCAACAAAAAATGTAACCTAGATTCAAATAACATCGACCTGATAGATTAATTACCAGGTTAAATATTTTTCTGTTCTCTTTCTCTACTTCTGTTTATTATAATGTTTGTATTGTATTGTTTTTTTTCTTTTAATAGACTATTATACCATTACCATTATATGTAACTATTGAATTTGTTAAAATGCATCAAGTATGGCATATGAATAATGATTTACAATTATATGATAATCATTTAGATAGACGTATTGAAATACATGCATTTAATATACCTGAGGATTTAGGTCAAATTGAATATGTATTCACTGATAAAACAGGTACATTAACAGAGAATAAAATGGAATTTAAACGTGCTAGTATTAATGGAATAGATTATAATGCAGATGATGGTTAGTTGATTTATAATTTACAATATTTTGTTAATGTAATTGGATAGTTTGATAAGTGATTATCAGAAGGGGTTTTGTGGAGATTTACTATTTGCATAATTGAAAGCTTGAGTCAATTGAAGCTAGACCAAAATGGAAAACCTGGAAGCATTGCTTGACGACCGTTTCGTTCTATTAAGGGACTCCTTAGTGGCAGCGTGCATCCACGATCCCGCACTCGTGAGATCCGAACTCAGGACCCACCAATCTCGAGCAAGAGCCCTTAACCGATAGACCAGTTCAAACCACGTCTGTCGTGAGATATCGACTTACTGAGAACAATTGGTGAACGGTTGCTCAACTTCGTGGATCAGTTGAAGTTTGACATTAACACCGTTGGATGCCGGCCGGCTCAGTGGTCTATCGGTTAAGTGCTATGGCACAAGACTGGTGGGTCCTGGGTTCAAATCTCGCAAGTGCGGGATCGTGGATGCGCACTGCTGAGGAGTCCCGTAATATGACGAAATGGCCGTCCAGTGCTTCCAGGTTTTCCATGGTGATCTAGCTTCAATTGACTCATGATTTCAACTATGAAAATAACTGGATAGTTTGATAATTGATTGCAAATTTTATAGCCTACAGACTTCTAGCTTTCTCGGCAAACATGATACAATATAAACAATGAATTAGAAACATAGTATTCAAATCTTTGACTTCAGTAAATTTACTAAATACCATGATAATAAGTTACTGTATCATTCTCAACTTCGCTAACTGGACAAGTTATCACTTCATACGCTAGAATTTTGAGAAATCGCTTTTCTAAACTATTTACATAACCATACACGAGTATTATCATGTTATAAGGTTCTGTATAGAAGATAAGTCACACCATCATTTACAATAACAAATTGATAACAATAAACCAATGAACTCTATAAGTTTAATGATTTACAAATTTACTTTAAGGTTGCAATAGTTAGTCGGGTGAAGTACATGTTATTGTCCAACCGATAAGATCAAAGACAGCGGCTACCGGGCTTTAGCACGAAAGTGAAAAATACGATTATGAAAATCTTTTATTTAACTAAATACTAAACAAAACCTACCAATATTTATCAGCAAAAATAGATGGTGGCTAGCACTGAAATCCAGGACACGCGTTTCGTCTTATTCGGGACTCGTCAGCTGAATGTACCTGCATCTGATATTCACTCTGGGACTCGAACCTAGTACTGTTCGCTTCAAACGCCATCGCGTCACTCACTTGTCTAATGAGTTCTGATAGCCAAATGGATAACGCGATGGCGTTTGAAGCGAACAGTACTGAGTTCGAGTCCCGGAGTGAACATCAACATTGGGATGCAGGTACATTCAGCTGACGAGTCCCGAATAAGACGAAACGCGTGTCCTGGATTTCACTGCTAGTCACTATCCATATTTGCTTATAAAGCTTTTGACTTATGGCAATATCAAGGCAATGCTCACAGTATGCACATATGCCAACAAGAGACAAATCAATTGCAGTGCTGAACAACAATGGGGAGATACAAGCAAACAACACCATGTGAATCTACTAATATTTAGTTTCTGTGAGTCTTATAGATTGATAAACATGATCCACAAGGCAGTGGAGCATCGTGAAGAGATGCAGTCTCATGGTAGCCGGTGACCAACGATTGATTCATACTCCATTTGTTCCCTAAGGATACTGGAGCCAATGTACACCTTTGGTTTGTAATCAGGGTTTTCCAACTCCCCTTGGTGGGTACGAAGGATCCGCCAACCCGATTAAAGGGCCGGACATTCGCTTTTCTTCCTCTCAATTTCATAAACAATACCCCTGCTACGAGAAGGCAATTAGTAGGGCGTCCGTGGCAGAGGCTATATACGCGTGGCCGTGTGAGAGCATTTCGAGAAAGAGGGCTGGCCCTCCCCACTCTCGACCGTATCAGAGCATTTGGGGGCTCCCCTAATATAAAAAGTATCTTTTAGCTAGCTAGATGTAAACCGCTACATATTTTATACAGTCAGTTGGTTAAACACTTATATCTTAAGGATTAAGTGTTAGGTTCACGCTCCATTTCATCTGCTTTGCACAAATATTTATAATCTCTCACTTTAATGTATTTCGTCTAGTAATCTTGTTGTATTTTATCTCTTTTTTCTTGTATATCATAGGTGATTATCATGAAAATAATGATCGATTGAGTGGTCATTCTTCACCAGTACGTTGTTTTGCACAATTATAACGAATTTAAACAAAGATGTTTTCATCAGAATATGAAATTCTAAGATTATTCGTACATAATATTGATTGTGCAATAATTTTTAGAGTTGTTTTTTTTTCATTTTAGCTTTTGCACATATTGTGTAGACACTACATCAACAAATCAATTTCCATTGTTTGAACACTGAGTAGTTAATAATTAGTTACGAACCCAGGACCTACCAATCTTGCGCCGGAGCACTTAACGGATAGACCACTGAGCCGGCATCTGATGGTGTTAATGTATAACTTCAACCAATCCATGAAGTTGAGCAACCGTTCACCAATTGTCGTGAATGAGCACTGTTGAGGAGTCCCATAATAGGACGAAACGGCCGTCAAGCAGTGCTTCCAGGTTTTCCTTGGTGGTCTAGCTTCAATTGACTTATGCTTTCAACTATGAAAATACTAAATCTCCACAAAAACCCCTTCTGATAATAATGAGTTAGTTATTTCACCCTCAATAATAATTTATTAACGAAGATCGGTTGAACGTAGTTTGGGGTACTATAAATAATACATGGCATTCGAAAATTTATGGTTTATTGATAAAATGAGACATTGAGTCCTAAGATTTTTTTATACCTGTGAGATATGGTCTCTGACTGCTTTATGCATTTCTATTCAAACACATAAGGAAATTAGTACAAAGGGCTATCAAAATATATGTACTCCACACAAACATAAAGATTTGTGTGTGGGCCGGGATACTCCATTGCTGCCCAAACTGAGACAGGTAGTTTTCGCAGGTGGGCCGCTCCCTTAGCTTTTGACGAAAAATTCTAATCCAAAAGCTAGTGGAGCACCGTCTGGAATATTAGTCCTATGGTATCCGATGACCAAGTATAGGTTAATACACCATTTGTCTCCTCAGAGTACTGGTGTCCATGTGCACCGTCGGATTAGAATTATACTTTTCTTACTCCTTTAGGTGGGTCTCCTCCGTTCCTACCAATCGCTTTTAGCCATCTTAATTTAGTAAATAACACTCCAACCGTCTGAATAATGAAAAGTTTGTAAGTATGTGAATAAACATCAGGTTTTCAACTTCCAAATCATACGAATACTTATAGATAAGAAAATTTTTTAATGATTTTGTCAATTTTACCATCTATCTATTGTGACCTTATATGTGGTGTATAGCGAAAAACGTCTTGTGACTGACACACAGAATTTGAATAAAAGTATTTATATGAAAAAAATAGTGTAATAAATGAAACTGATATGAAGGAATACTTCAGACGATATTGTTGTTTGATACTTTTTTGGCACTAACGACCTATGGATTTATAACTTTTCAACTATATTTTACGCTTATTTCCAAATTTTAAACCACATCATAAGTTGTAATAATAAATAATAGTGGTAGGTAAACTTAAATCAATTGCAGTATTTCTACAATTGAAGAATATATGGAACTCAAAACAACTGTCAACTAACTTCAAAGTCAGAATCTTCAATACGAACATCAAGACAGTCCTACTGTACGGAGCTGAAACATTGAGAACTACTACATCCATCGTCGAGAAGGTACAAGTAATTATAAACAGTTGTTTACGCGAAATACTCAACATTCACTGGTCGAATACTATCAGCAACAGCGTTTTATGGGAGAGGATAAACCAGCTTCCAACTGAAGAGGAAATTATAAAAAGACGTTGAAAGTGGATAGAACATACATTAAGTAAATCACTAATGTGCATTACAAGGCAAGTCGTAACTTGGAATCCAGAAGGGAAGAGGAAAAGAGAAAGGCAAAAGAACACATTACGCCGGGAAGTAAAGGCAGATATGAAAAAAATGAATGTTAACTGGAAAGAACTTGAAAGGATTGCCAAGGACAGAGTTGGATGGAGAATGCTGGTTGGCGTCCTATGCTCCTCTAGGAGGGGTAACAGGCGTAAGTAAGTAAGTAAGTAAGGTAAACTTACAGCTAAGTCCCATATTAGGACGAAACAACTGTCCAGTGCTTCCAATACTTCGATGGTGGTCTAACTTAGCCAGGTTCCTGATTTCACTAAAATTCAAAAATCTCCACAATCCTATACTCGTAATGTTTATTGTTATGCTAATAGTTACAATTTCTATTTACTTAGATTGTAGTGAACGAAAACTTGACGAGAATAACCAATTATCGATTTAATGTAAAATCAGAGTAATTTGGTACAATACAAAAACCATACATTAATAACATCATTTACACATATTACATCAGTTGTCCTTTTCGTAATCAATGACTCTTCCAATTATGTTTTTATTCTAAATCCCTTCAGTTTGGTCTTCTCAGTCTTCTTCTGCCAGGCATTCCACTTATGATTGGTGTTACATACTACTTATATCTGTCAATATAAGTAGCATACACCACAAGATTATTGAAATACCATTATATTGCTATAAATAGTAACATCTAAACATACATACATACTTACTTATTTACTTACGCTTGTTACACCCAATGGAGCATAGGCCGCCGACCAGCATTCTTCAACCCACTCTGTCCTGGGCCTTCTTTTCTAGTTCTATTCAACTTTTGTTCGTTTTTCTCAACATCTAAACATGCTCACATTTATTCTGTTTACTATAATATAAGCTTAACATTTAGTCTAGTTGAATTGCCAAAAATATTTTATAAATTTACTCAAAGTACTTTTCTTTTTGGTATTTTCTAAATATTTGTAAATACTTTCAGAAGCATATTATAACAAGTTTGAATACACTAAAAAGTATATTAGAGAATAGAACAGTTTTTTCATATCATCAAAAAACTATCAATAATGATATGGAATATTCTGATCATAGTTCCAGGAATTACTTCATCCATGAAAACAAGACAAATCATATTGACTTTACTACGGTACAAAAATCGAATGACATTCCATCAACAAGTCATACAAAAATAGATAATGTTGTGGATGAAAACATCGATAGACGTAATTCTACGGAAATTAAATCTAGAACTTTTCATAATCAATTTTTATTAAGTGAAGAAACACGTATTCAAGACTATTTCTTGGCATTAGCTATATGTAATACAGCTGTAGTGTCTGTGACAAAAAATACTCCAACATTGGTAAGTTAACTTGTATTCATTTATTATATTCTCATGTATTTAGCGTAGTTGTAAATATTTCCGCCTATCTATATGTGTAGTGACTGACTACTCATAAATATTTCTTATTACGGAGATTGTTGGATTTCATTGAGATTATACTTGATCTAGGTTATTTCAGCATTGAAAACGTGAAAGCGTTGGGCAGCTGCTTCGTCCTCGTATAGGACTTATGTTATATCCCCTGGTGAACTGCTCGTACGTATTTTATGTATCATTTGCGTCCGATCAAATAAATTCACTCCTCTCTAATTGCACATTCATATATATTACGAGCGCACACGATATAACAACTTACCAGCAATGCACATCTACGGTCTCGCTCGCGAACGCTCAACCTCTAAAACACTGAGTTGGCATACAAAGTTACTGATATGTAACGTAGATAAATCCATGACATCGACTTAGAATACGCAGATGATATAGTCCTGTTTGGTGAAAACGCTGACAAAATGCAGAGTCTTCTGTTAGAACTGAGCAACAATGGAATGATGTTTCGAGGATATGTTTCTCTCCCTCTAAATGTAAATTGGTACTCCAGGACTGGCCTGCGTCAACACCTGAACTAAGGATAGGGAGTGAAGTAGTCGAACTCGTACGACATCTTCACTTATCTTGGAAGTCTGATCATCCCTAATAGGTTGGTGTCTGACAAAATCTCTTCACGGATTCAAAAGGCGCGTTTGGCTTTTGCCAACTTACGTCACCTATGGCGAAGACGAGATATCCGTCTATCAATTAAGGGACGAGTATACTGTGCAGCAGTTTGCTCTGCTCTACTTTACGGCTGTGAAACATTGCCATTAAGAGTAGAAGATACTCGTAAGTTGCTAGTATTTGACCACAGATGCCTTAGAAATATTTCTCGCATCTACTGGGATCACCAGGTAAGTAATAGTGAGGTTAGACTCAGGATATTTGGGAATGATAGTAAATCAATTAATAAGGTTGTGGATCTTCATCAACTGAGATTGTTGAGCCATGTGTTACGTATGCCTAACCACCGATTACCACGACGCTCTGTGCTGACTAGTATCGGGGATGGTTGGAAGAGAGTTCGGTGTGAGCAAACCCAAAACGTGGCATTAGAGCTTGAAGTCACTAACTTCTGCTTCAAACCATATTGGTAGATATAGGCTACTTGGTTGGGGTACATGTGGCTATCGTAACCAATGGTTGGAGACTGTGGTTGACATGGCTCAGAATCGACCACAATGGGGTAGGTGTATACACTCTCTGTCTTCCCTTAAACTGTAGGATTAAAATTACTTTTTATCTTTCTTTCTTACGTTACTATACCCTTATATGCGATTTTTCTTTGATATATTACTATCATTGAAGTAATTACTTCTTGTTGTCCTATTGAAGTGTGACAACTTGGACCTATGCATATATGTGCTTGGTCCTACATTGTAGCTGACTGACTGACTCGTTTATAAATAAGTAGTTCAGATAAGAATTCAATTTGTTTTTCGTCGTGATATGAAAATGTTTCACCAGAAATCTGTCCAATAATTTTCTCACCAAACATCCGTTATTAATTTTAGCATAAAATGCTTAAGTGTTATCTTTAATTTGAATAATGATTTTTCAGTGTGATTCAGTATTTGATTACTTCTAAAAACTTTCCTAAATGGTTTCATTAAGTCTTAACTACGATTAGATAAACTAATTTTTTTTCTGTTAGAGTTGGAATTTTTAAAACTGTGGACCCCAATCGCCAGTGTTATAATGCTCTAGTTATCAAGTGATTACTTGAATCGAACGCTCAATCTCTTTAGTTGATGCTGTTAGTCTGACCTGATGTTTGTTGGGATGATACTGAAAATTTCTCACAATAGACGTGACAAGCTCAGGATACATTAAGAAGCATTTTTATCCAATCACCGTTTGATTACAAGTTTTGCTAGAAATATCAAAAAAATGAAACGTCACATGTAGAGGTTCTGATCAGCTGATTACTACACTGCTACTATGTTTAGTAGTATTCTAGAATTTTCAGGTAAACCCAAGGACTTTTAAAATATTATAAAAATTCTATATTCTCTGTACATAAATGAACTTTTGGAGTAAAGTGCTTCCCGCATATTTTGTGCCTTTTCTCTTGTGTTCAATTCGCTGTGTAGTTCTAACTCGGTAGGGGGTTACGAAACTACCTTAGGATCCGAATATAGCGTTCAATCAGAATGATGTATCAATGTTAACTCTCATCAATCCTAATTACTAACGTTAAACATTCCCGGTAAATCGATATTAAGATCATTTTATGTTATTAACTTTCTTATACTCATATAGAGAATATTTTCCGTACAGTATTGATTTACATCCATACTTTATTTTCAACAGTTTGAAGTACCTCCACGTCGTAAAGGATTTCGTGATTTCTTTCGTTCTGGTAAATTAAACTCTATAACACATTTACATCAAAAATTACGTAAAACCAAACAACAACAACAACACCAACAACAACAAAGTCAACCTAATACACTATTAGATAAGTCTAACAACATAAAAGATAAGATGATAGATCCTAATCATTTATCACGTGCTAAACAAACAATCAATTTATCTAATATCTTTTCAAATAAATTACGTTCAAATAGAATAAATGAAACAAATGATCAAATAGAGAAATTGAATGATCATCATCATGATAATAACAGTATTATATCTTCTGGTCCCTTGGTAACTAACCGTATGAATCCGATCACTTCAACAGATCATGATCTTATCAACAATACTAATCATGAAGATACTAGTCAAGAAACTTTTGTCATTGATGATTCTAATTCTAAATTAGATGATATAGAAATACAATCTATTAGAACTGATGAAATTGATCAGCCAGATGATAATACTAATCCATCATTCAATATTAATGATCTAAATGCTAATTCAGCTAGATCATATAATGAACTTATCAAAAGTATATATAATAAAGAATCTTTACTATTTTATTCAAGTCGTTGTTTACCACCAGTTATTGAAGCATTAGATTTAGATGTATCATTAAAAAATTCTCAGCATATTTTAAATATACCACAAATAAATGATGAAAGAAAAAATAAAAAAATATTATTACAATATGAAAAGAATCAATTTAGTAGTCCATATAGTATATCAACAGATGAATTAAATTTACATAGACAACAATCAGGTAAGTATATATGTATATATGTATATCATTTGTGATTTATCACTTAGTCCCCAAATGCTCTGGTACGGCAGAGAGTGGGTAGATTCTACTCTCCCTCTTCAAATGCTCTCATATGACCACGCGTATATAGCCTCTGTCAGGGAAGTCTTACTCACTGCCTTCTTGTGGCATTACTGTTGTTTACGAAAGTGAGTAGACGAAAAGCGAATGTCCGGAGCTTTAACCGGGTTGGTGGACAAGCAAAGTCCACCTAGTTTAGTTGGAAAACCCTGATAGCAAACCAGTGGTGCACATTGGCTCCAGTATCCTGAAGGAACAAAATAGCGTATGAATCAATCGTTAGTGACCGGCTACCATGGGACTGCATCTCCTCACGATGCACCACTCCCTTGTCGATCAGATCTTTAGGTCAAAGGCTCCGGGTGTGGCCCCCTGAGAAAACCGCCTGGTTCAGTTTTGGCACCTGTGCAGTATCACAGACCTCACACAAATCAAATGAGATTTGTGCGGCGCATATATATCTGGTGCTTCCTTGTAACAATATTTATGTGCTTAAATAAATAAATAAATAAACTCTAGATCACCATGGAAAACCTGATTGCACTGGACGGCCGTTTCATCCTATTGTGAGACTCTTCATCAGTGCGTATCCACGATCTCGCCTAGCGAGATTCGAACCCAGGACCTACCAGCTTCAAATGATCCATGATTTCAACAATATAAAATTACTAAAATCTCCACAAAATCTCCTTCAAATAAATAAACATTGCAAGTACTGATGAGTTATTCATTACGTTAAGGAATTACAACATGATTGATAAAAGGTAATCCAATGGTATGTAATTTCTTATTATTGATAATCAGAATTGAATTGAATATGCAGGCAGCTTATAAGTTTCATATAAAACAAAAATCTAAGATTATTAAAATTTAACAAAATTGTAACTATAGTCAACATTAAGGTATACGGTTAAAGAAGTTTATATTTTATCAGAAAATAATCACATTCTGTCGTTAGTATTATAAACGAGAATATATAACATTTATCTATCGGTTGCTATGACTACCAGTTGACATTTGAAATGCTAGATATCAACTTTAAAACTCAATGTATCTATCAAATTCAAGTGTAACTTTTGATGTGATCGATACATATAATAATGATTTACTTCTTTAGATTTTCAAACTTATTATAATTGAAGTGTTTGAGATTAACTGAGATCAAAGACAATTTAGATAGAAAGTCTACAAATTATCCTTTCTCTTCAAATCATTCTATAATCATATGCTCACTAGTGTTTGACTTCAAGAGGTAAATCCAGGAGTTCTATTGAGAAGCAGTGACTAGTGGAGTTCAAACCAGGTCGGTTGTGAGGTAGGAACTCATTGATGACAATTGGTGAACGGTTGCTCAAACTTCGTGGATTGGTTGAAGTTAGACATAAACACCATCGGATGCTGGCTCAGTGGTCTATCGGTTAAGTGCTCTGGTGCGAGACTGGTAATTCCTGGGTTCGAATCTCACCAGGCAAGGTCGTGGATGCGCACTAATTGAACGAAACGGCCGTACATAGCTTTCAGGTTTTCCCTGGTGGTCTAGCTTCAATTGACTCACGCTTTCAACCATGAAAAGAATTAATTTTCAGAATAAAAGGTTGAAAAAACGTTTCCATATCCTAGGAAAACAACTGTAGGCTATTTTCTTAGGTTGAATCGGGTTCCGTATAGCCGGACCGTGATGACAGGAAAGTAATTGTACAAACCCTCTCTCTAATCTTATAATCTATCAGTTCACCTATATGATCAGTAATATCGGTGACTTATTTATCAGTTGAAATATCTAACAATGAACCACAACGCTTTTCGGTCCTCGAGCTCCTTCCAACCCAGTGGCCAATCAAAAGACGAAGACAGAAAGCAGATCAGTTCTCTATTGTACGCAATAAGTATAATAGAACTGAGTAATAGGTCCGTAATAAATCAATAGTAACTTCACAAAGGTACAAAATATAAAGACAGTTTATGTGTCATTCAAAAACTTGTAAGCTGGGGAATACGGAAACACAACAATTTAAATATTTGATAATAAAAAAGCGAAAAGCAAAACAATACCTTCAGGTATCACAAATCCGGAAGTTCAACTTCTTTGTTGTTCTTTCCGTTACATTATTTTTCAACTCAAGATCTAGGAGATGACAACGAGTAAGTACAGTTGAGCTGTCGCGTTCGATTCTGAGTCCAGTCATCTAATGTCTTCAGACACAGGTATTAGTTATCGCACCAACCCTAACCGGGTATTCCATAAGTACCAGTATGGGTCAGACTAAAAGCCGGTGATTTCGGGGACTGACACCTCTTTTTTATTTGACCACCCCTAACTTCCACATCAGTCAGCATTGTACGTCCAGAGAGAGGCAATGGTTAAGCAAACGTAACATGTCTCAAACACCTTGGTCGTTAAAGGTTCACAATCTTATCGTATGATTTGCCATTTTCGCTTAGTATCCTGAGTCTTATCACATCATCCCTCATTTAATCATTTCTTTATACGTGAGCGATGATTCGACGACATTGCTGACAACTACTCATCTTTAGCTTTCCATTCTTATAGCTAACTATTTTGATTTTCAAGCTTCAAAAAACTCTATAAATACTGATAATGTCATCAACTTTTACTACATTGACTTAGTCGTTTAATTGGACAGTGATAGATGTTGATTTTGTAAATTGCAAATGTAATATCACTCAACTTAAAAAAATTACTTAGTATCACCCTAGAAAAACTCCGCCCGTAGCTACTACGGAGGCTACTGCCGGTCCCAAGCCCAGATTTCAACCATTTCAGGCGCTACATAGTTAAAATGTAGTCATTTGGGTTTTATAATAAAACTTTGACAAGCGTTAATCTGGTACTTCTTGTATGTATTTAGTCCCCAGTGTCTATGTGATTATTTGATCAAAGTCTCCATTAGTTTATTCGTAATTGTTTTGTTAAATATCTTTCTGTATAACAGATTTCGAATCATTAGGATCAGCTAATCATCATTTTGATTCGAATAGAGATATTAAATTAGATGTCCAACAAGATAATGAAGAAAACCCTACTATGCTCAAAGATTTACAACTCAATCTTGCAAAAGAGAAAAGTGTTCAAAATGATAAAAATCAATTTGAAGAAGAATTAGAAGTAAATACAGCTAGAACTCTCACAGTGCGTATACACAATGGCAGTTCACTTGAGTTGCCTGTCGAATCCGATATCTGTGCACAAAGTCCAGCCGATTTAAAACAATGTCCATTATCAGATAAAACTTTATTCAATTCCTATGAATCTGAAAGTCCTGATGAAATATGTCTAGTAAAAGAAGCATGTAAACGAAATTACAAATTATTACAACGCGGTGTCGACTTTATGCTGCTATGGTTACCAAGTAAGTTCATTAAATGCAATCTCATTTTATTGTTTTTCGAATAGCCTATAGGGAACTGTAAAGTATATATATGAATTCACTCCTAATAAAGAAAAGAGAACTCTTCCCAGAACTCTCGCCGACATCCCTGAGGTCGGTTGCGTTACCGCTCTAGTTGTACGCCGAACCAAATGCCCGACACACACAATCTCCGTGGACAGAGTCCGGAATATTAACCCGATTTTCTTTCGCTACAGGGGGCTGCAATGAAACGGTACTTTGCAGATTACTAAACAAAGCCCGCGAACGATCACTGTCAGGCACCCTGTCTCTGTTCCAATTTACCAGATCACTTAGGACCGCCTGACCTATGATCTACTGCTGTTCCCATGGAACCCTTCCCCACCTCGGCCTTCAAAGTTCTCACTTAAATATATATATATATATATATATATAAAAGCTTCTACATTGGTGATTTACATTTAAAGTCAACTAAACTGATCAATTCACCATGTTATGTACTATGACCCATTAAATATTTCCTGACGAAATCTCTGACCGGAATACCGAGTTCTGTGGCTTTTCCCCTGTGCTAAACCAACTATGCGTCAACTGGCGCTAGCAACCTTGAGTCGACTCTGAGTTCTTATTGGTCCTCCGTATGGTAACCTCTCGCCTAGTTTAGCCCAGCCTGTCCTATCCAGAACACAAATATCAGCCTCCGCTAATATGAACCTCATATTTCAGGCATACGTGGTTTATATACAACCAGACTTGACCGCATTGTGCCATAAAATGAAAAATAATTATTATACAAGATCAAGCCAAAAGTGACTGAGTAGGTGGGAGACTGTAAATTATAGATTTGGAATATATTAGGAATAGTAAATGGTGTAATGGTAGTTAATGGGTCAAACGTAAGCTTATGATAAGACGAGATATGGATAAAAGTTAGAATACAATGGAATGTTATATCTAGAGCTTTGATTCTTACTATGCCAAGTACTACCGAACTACTTGAACAATCGAACCCGCAACGTCGCAAGAGAGAAGAAAGAAGACTAGTAAGTAGGTAGTTTATTCCCCAAAACAGTGTCAAAATATAGTACAGAAATCTCGTGTATTTACGGTTTTTGACTGAGAGTAAATCATCATTTCGGACAACCAATAGGCACATAGGGGGTAATTCTTATTCATCCAATAGGGGAGCTACACGTTGACATTCTAGAATATTCCCCTAGCAGTGATTGGATGGAATGTCTTCTGCTCTTTCTGGGCTTCTTAAGGGTTCCTAAAGTTTACCGATGAGCCATCCTTACATGGAACTTGATAGATATTTCAATAGATTATTTAGGTGTAATTATATATCTTCATAGTTTAATATTTTGTTTTGCTTTGCTTTCTGTTGTACAGAAGATGGACTTGTTTGTATAAATGTATTACGTATTCTACCATTTGATTCACAAAGAAAACGTATGTCTATTATATTTCGTCATCCATGTACAAATGAACCAATATTATTTACAAAAGGTGCGGATTCATCAATTATGAATCGTTTGGATAATACAGGTAAATTGTTATCAATAATTCTAATTTCTTTACATCTATCCACTTTGTATTCAATGAATTAAAGGAATGGTAACTAGTGTTATATCCTAGCGAAGACATAAGTACGGGTAACTTCCGGGGCCTATTAGTGGACGATTATTCTATATATATTGTTATTGTTTAACTATTGAGTAATTAGATTATGTATATCTATATTCATCTTATTATAAGCTTCATTTTGACCTATGAATTATTACTGTACGATTTACTTACTTACGTATGCCTGTTACTCCCAATGGACCATAGGCCGCCGACCAGCATTCTCCAACCCACTCTCTCCTAAGCCTTTCTTTCTAGTTCTATCCATTTTTTGTTCATTCTTCTCATGTCGGTCTCTATTTCTCGGCGTAATACATTCTTTGGTCTTCCTCTTCTTCTTTGGCCTTCAGGATTCCAAGTGAGGGCTTGTCTTGTGACGCAATTGGGTGATTTCTCAAAGTGTGCCCAATCCACTTCCAGCGCTTCTTTCTGATTTCTTCCTCCGCTGGAATCTGGTTCGTTGTCTCCCACAGTAACTTGTTGCTGATAGTGTCTGGCCATCTGATCTGAAGTATCTTGCCTAGACAACTGTTAAAAAACACTTGTTTCTTCTGGATGATGGCTTTCGTAGTTCTCCACGTCTCCACCCCATACAGTAAAACTGTCTTGACATCCGCCTGTAGTTACTGCAGGTCCCAAGCCTGGGTAAAGGAAGAGGGTTGAACATGGGGTTAGCGACCCCATTCTGTTAAAAACCAACTCGCTTAAAAAACGCTAACCAGAAAAAATTATTCAATTGTACGATTTACTGTTCCTAAATTATATTCACTTTATTGATTACTGTCTCCCCCGTTTACAGTCACATTTGGCTTGATCTTGTACAAATATTATTTTCTATTTTATGGTGTTATACCGTCCGTCAGTCTATCTGGTATATAAACCGAGTATGCTTAAAATAAACGATTCGAATAGCAGAAGCTGCAACTGGTGTTCTGGACTCAATTAGAGGGGCTAGGAGGACAAGGGACCAATAAAGACGCTAGACTAATACTGGTCGAACGTCATTGATTTGGCACAGTGTTAAGATTGGAAAAGTCGTATTTCGATTGATGGATAATTCACGTGATAAAAAGAAGTCGGACATAAAAATCAATTACGAATTAGTATACATCCTCTTATACTTTTCTGTAAAGTCATAACAACTATCAGAACCAATTTAAAGATCATCGTTGTTATTATACAATCGTAGGATTATTCTCTTTTGATTGATCCATGAACTACTATCATACTACTTATTATTCCTAATTCTTCGTCAGTCTTATTCACAGTATCTCTTATTCACAACCACTTTTGGTTTATGTATAATTATTCTTTTTCATTTTATGGTGTAGTGTGGTCTGGTATTCCGATGTATAAACTACGTCTGTTTGAAATGTAAATACAGTAGGAGGTAGTTGCTGACTTCTGAACTCAAGGTAAAGTATAGAAAGAGGCTCGCGAATAACGGACCAATAGGAAATTAACTGTCGGTTTGAGGTCATCAATGCTAGTTGTTATGATTTTATAAAAAAAGACCGTTTCCAACTCGTTATGATTTTATGTCCGACTTCTTTTTATCACGTGAATTATCCACGGACGGTATCACACCATAAAATAGAAAATAATATTTGTACAAGATCAAGCCAAATGTGACTGTGAACGTGGGAGACAGTAATCAATAAACTGAATATAATTTAGGAACTGTAATTCGTATAATAATAATTTATAGGTCAAAATAAAGCTTATAATAAGATGAATATAGATATACATAGTCTAACCACTCAATAGTTAAACAGTAAGAATACATATAAAATAATAGTCTATTAATAGGTCACAGAAGTTACCCGTGCTCATGTCTTCGCTAGGATATAACACTGGTCGTGCTTGTGATTGGTCAAGTTAGAGACACTATACTATAAAATGAATAGTAGATGCAAAATAGACCAAATTAGCATGTGATATTTGTCAGCAGCCACAAGACACAACAGGTATGGAACTCATGATCCTATTATTTCACAGCTTGGATGTCACATGCATACCACTGAGTTTGCATCCAATGATTCACACATCTAGTATTAATCAGTTAGGAATATGACACTACGATCATGTAATCCATCAATAATGACTATCTTTGTCCCGGTAAGGCTGAACTAATTTATAGGTCGCCGCACACATATTATATGTTCTTGTATTCAAGCTGATTGATAATTAAAATTGTTTCGAAATAGCTATCATTATTTGTGAACATTGAGGACGAATATTGTTCACACAACTTACGCATGGCTTCCGTACATTATATTTTTTTCAAATAACTCAATAAAATCACGTATGCATTCGCCGTAGTCACCTATAAATGAGATCATAAGTCAGACGTGATTGTGAATTGAAAGTGGTCAACTGTTGAGGTTATTATAAGGGTCAAATCAAAGAGAAACGTTTAAAGTCCAAATCGCATTACCAACAAAGATTTATTGTAATCTTAAGCTACATAATAAGACTAATCCACTAACTAATGTAACTTTGATACATGGCCTTTGAGAGTGGAGGATATTCAAGGTTACAAACATTTGTGTCTTCGAAGCATTACTCTCGTACGTTGGGACTACTAAGCACGTAATAATACTAGGCGAAGACAACAAATTAGTTAATAAGATTGTGAATCATCATCTATTGAGGTGTTCAGGTCTCTTTCCGACATAAATAGAGCGCTCTATAGATCAAGTTAACAATACAATAAAATAATTTCGCCGAAATGTTAACTGACTAAATATGGTAAGTTATAGGTGAGTATTTTTAAATTTCTATAACACAATTCTTCTAACTGTGCGAATTAGAATTCGACAATATTCCGCGTGAATAATCTTGTCTGTTTTAATAACTAGTCGAATTCAGTCAGCACATTAGTCACTACTCAGTGATCAATTAATTATAAATACATCTCACTCGTACAGAAGGACAGTCGTGGTCTGATTAGCTCAGTGGTAACGTCTGTGATTGTGAGGCTGAGTGACATGAGATCGAATCTATCAGGGATGCCTTGCTGATGAGGGCCGAATAACATGAAACCTGGGTTTGGTGTTTCTTGTCGACTACATCCAACCCCTACCTTGTTTTCATTGTATTGTGAGCCCAGTTTTATTACTTTCTGCTAGCTTCTTGTAATTCCCTTTTAAGTTCTGTCGCTGGATCCTAACAATAGACTGCTCGGTTTTCAATTCATTCAGACTCTGTTCCATTTTTAGAACATCCATTTTTCTTCTATGTTTGGATGAGTAGCACCAATAAAATGGCTAAAGCCTATATACTACCCCACCATCACAATGTTCGTTTTAGCTAAATCTTTCATGACGAAATTGTTGATGCTTCATAGAACAATAATCTTTTGATACTCTGATTTCTTCATTCTCTATATAGAATAGTGACTCACTTAGAATGTCGAAAGTAGTTATAGATTCTGTGATTTAGGCAAAAGCTAACGCTGTCAGCTAACGAATTTTCAAAACAAAATCTTTATATGTCATATAATTTGTTGAAGATTTATTAGTTGATGTTGTCTCCAACATAAACATCAGACCAAATGGACTATGCAACTTTCTTGAATTGCATTTGAGTGTACTCATGAAATGCTAAATATTCATGATCAATCATGATAGTTGATGGATTTAAGTTTAAGTGCAGTTCATTCGGTTTGTTAAAGGCGAGCGCATATGAACTCATACTTTTGCCGTTCACTGGAATGTAAACTGAAAAAATAATCATATTAAATTTGGTAACTTAAGTTGTTTAGGTCTGAGTGAACAAAGGCGATGATGTCTAAAATGTCCCATTTGTATACCAGACAATTCCATATTCTAACTTGTAGAAAAGATTATCTCACAAAATTGTCTTATATTTAGAAGTTGGATTTAAAGCATTCAATGAACTTGGATTCAATAAAAGTGCCTGATATTTATGCCATAAATGCCGAATTGTCGACTTCATCATAATCACAACTGTAGTGAACACCTTTCACTTTTATAATGTGTATCGAATGATAAGTCAATATCTATCAATTTTCAACTCCATTCAGTTTTTTTCATTCCACTATAATAACTGTTGTTCACATTACTCCTTGAATGTCAACATTTGAAGGGATCAAATTCTGGTGAATATTTTCATCAAAACAGTTTTACTAAAGAATCATTTAAAAATAAGGACCATTCCATAGTAATTTCGTACTTATACAGAAAACCCGATCGAATCCCAACCTAATGGTCATAATGGTAAGCGGAGATGGACAGTGACTAGCAGTGGAATCCAGGACGCGCGACACTTCGTCCTATTTGGGAATCGTCAGCTGGATGTACCTGCATCACAGAGTTGATGTTTACTGATAGCCACTGTCCATCTCTGCTTACTATACTTGTGAATTAAGGCTATATCGAGGCAATACGCACAGTATGCACATATGCCAATTAGAGACTGACCAGTTGCAGTCCTAACACATCGATGGGAAGATTCAAACATACAATACTAAATGAATTTAATGGTCATCATGTTCGATGTTTGCCGCGAAGTTTAAAGGTTTTAGGTTCGACCTCTGCCGAAGTTGTAGACAGTCACTATTGAGGAGTTTAACCCATGAATAAAATAGCCATCCAGTGGTTTTCAGTGGTTATTAATAACATCAGTTATTCAATTGAAAAAATTTTTTATGAAGCTTCCCAAGTTTTCATTATTAACTTAAATGATTTTTTGGTTTCTTTTATAATCTATAAATTGTGTGCATAACTACTAAATTAAATCTTGTTTTTCAAGGAATAAATTCACGTGAATTAGTAACTGCTACACAAGAACAAATTGATCATTATTCACGTTTGGGTTTAAGGACATTAGTGATAGCTGAACGAGTAAGCATCATTATATTGATTAGTTTTGTTTAGTGTCTCTTTTGTAATTGAATCTGAACATAATTTCAAAAAAGTTTCATTTTAATTCAATAGAAGTTACTATTCAGTGAAATCGGTCACTTTAGATTATTACTTCATGTAATTATTATATTTCCATAGTTGAAATCATGAGTCAATTGCAGGTAGACCACCATGAAAAACCTGGAAGCACTGGATGGCCGTTTCATCCTATTATGGGACTTATTAGCAGTCTATCGGTTAAGGACTCTGGCTCGAGACTGGTAGGTCCTCGCGAATGCGGAATCGTGGATGCGCACTGCCACTGAGGAGTCCCATAATAGGACGAAACGGCCGTCCAGTGTTTTCAGGTTTTCCATGGTGGTCTAGCTTCAATTGACTCATGATTTCAACCATGGAAACACTGAAATCTCCACAAAACCTCTTCTGATCTAATTTTTATATGTGATGGATTTCATTAGTTCTCTCCAGCAAATGTATTATAAGCTTTAATTTTGCTGACTTATCGAGTACATGAACTCAGCTTTAAGTCATGGATTGTATGATGGCTAGCGATTTTATTTGGGCGTTGAAAGCAGTACAGATGAAATATGGTTCAAACATGTAGCCCTTTGTTTGAATGTAGATTAATTTGAAAATTAACACCTCGATCCACGTAAATACAACTTCAATCCAATTGACTGGTTAATGTGTTATTACAGTAATTGAATGTCATCTTCGAGTAACTGATCATCTTGATGTAAATATTTTTGTAAAGGTGAATAAGGTTCAATTTATACAATTCTGAACATTCCGAATTAGTTATAAGGTAGGTATATTACGAAATTAAATTTGAGTTATTTATTTATTTAAACACAAACATTGGTACAAAGTGGCATCGAATATATATGCGCCAAACAAATCATTTGGTTTGTGTGAGGGCTGTAATACGTCCCGGGTGCCCGAATTGGAACAGTTGGGTTTTATAGGGGTCCACTCAGAGCTTCCAACCTAAAGGTCTAATTCGACGAGACGGGATCGACGTTAAGAGATGCAGTCCCATGGTAGCCGGTGGACCAACCATGGGTTCATACACCATTTGTTCTCTCAGGATCCTTGAGGGTTTTCCAACTTCCCTAGATGGATCCTCTATATCCACTAACCCGGTTAAAGCACCAGGCAGTCGCTTTTTGTCCTCTCAATTTCGTAAACATAACCGCCGCAAGAAGGCACTGGCTCTTTACATGTGGCCATGTGAGAGCATTTCAAGAGGGAGAGCGGTTCCTCCCCACCCTCGGCCGTACCAGGGCATTCGGGGTCGAACTTCGAGTTACAACAACACCAAGTCATAGTGTAAGTTTCGACCTACTACTTAGGCAGCGGTATAGCTACGTTTGTAAACGTTTACTGATGTCGATCTACGTCTGCTTGTTTCAATTTTTCAAATGACTTAATCAACTGTCCAACCTTAAGATACCGTCCTAAACACCTGAATAAATACAAATATGTTTGTGTTATCAACATCTACATGACTCCAGGCTGCACATCATCTGCGCCATCTGTTTTCGTTGATGAATTTACTGAATTCGCTGTTACTGCCTTCAATGGTTCACTTTCGATTGTATGTGGTGATTTTAATTCATATGACTGTAGCTTCCTTTCATCACTAGGTCACCAAAATGTAGTAGGGTTACCCACTCGTTTGGATGCTCATTTAGACTTGGTTTTCATGAATGATGTGAGTAAATATGTTACTCATAAACGTGCTTCATCGTCTAGCTTGGATCACTGGTTTATATATATGACATCTATTTACTAGTCTTTTCTTTCCAATAGTTATTGACAGAAGATGAACTTCAGAAGTGGCTAAAAGAAGTCTATGAAATAGAGACTGGAAATGAAAATTCAACAGAGGCTATGATGATAGTGATGGATAAGCTAGAGAGTAATTTTATTCTTTTAGGTAAGAAAAAAAATTTACTTATAAGCTTAACTATTGTGTTGAACCCATTGTAATCAGTACAAATTTCAATTTTCTAAGAACAAGAATTAGTGTACTCTAAAATTTGCTGGAATTATTGCAACAACCAGGAAGTGTGCATGATTTCTTAGAGTATCGGAATAAAATATGCTAACTGTAGTCTTTGACTTATCAGCTTTTATAAACAATGAGGATTCCACTGCTAGCCACTATCCATCTTTGCTTATAATACTTGTGACTTTAGGCTATATCGAGGCAATACGCACTGTATGCATATATACCGATAAGCGACTGATCAATTGCAGTCCTAAACATCAATGGGAAGGTTCAAACAAACACTACTAAGTGAATTTAAACTTCACCCCATTGCACAAGCAAGTGGCTATCAGGACTCAGTAGCTGAGTGGATAACGCGATGGTGTTTGAAGCAAAAGGTACTTGGTTCGAGTCGCAGAGTGAACATCAACTCTGAGATGCAGGTACATCCAGCTGACGAGTCCCAAATAGGACGAAACGTGTGTCCTGGTTCCACTGCTAGCTACTATGCATCTTTGCTTATAATGAAGATTTTGGTTATGACATCAACTTTAACAGACAGATACACTTTCCATCAGCGATAATCACTTTTTATGCCTGGCCTACAATTAAAACAGGATATTTATTACTTCTAATAATTTGATTGGTGGATGGTATTTTTCATAAACTGACTTCAGTTTAAGTGTGGTTTAGTGATTATCGCTAATTTTGAAAGTTTTGGTTTCGATCCTTACAAAGGTCATATGTGCTCAATGCAAATGTGTCCCAAACCAGTGCTCCCTAGTTTTCAGTGAGATCTCAACTGAATTCAATTTGTAACCAATTCCATTTACAAATTGAACCGATCTCCACACAACGCTTATCATTAATAATTGGTTAAATATTTTTGATGAACAGTTCATAGCTAAATCATGTTTAGATCATCATTTGGAAGATTTGAATTTTCGTTAATATTCCAAATGACTAGCATTGAATTCCAAAAAAACCAATTTCATCCTAATTGAAACTGAAATATTAACCTACTACTCACATTTAAAACTCTATAGAGTCAATCACTGGGAATCTCATTTCATACCTCGTTGGGAACATGAACGCTATGATGCATCAATATTCAGTCACGAAATTCAAATAACATGAATCATGGTTCCTGTTAGTGTTTACGTAAAATATTATTTATGACTCAAAAGCATCTAAATCAATCTGTTGAGTTTCACTTGCTAAATGTTCAATCATCGTCTCGCAGTTCAGATAAAATCCCATTAATGTCAAAGACTTTGAAAGATTATTTGTTCGACGTTTATCAATGCCCTAACGATTTAAAAAAAAAACAACTTAGACACTAACACCATTGAATGCTGACTTAGTGGTCTAGAGGTTAAGCATTCACGTACGAGACCGAAGGTACTGGATTCTAGTCCTGCGGGATCGTGGATGCGCACTGCTGAGGAGTCCCAAACTGGGACGAAACGGCCGTCCAGTGCTTAAGAAAGTAGCCCTACCGATTATCTTTGCCGTAAAAAAGTTCCACAAAATGATATTTGGTTGGCAATTCATCCTAATAACAGATCATAAACCATTGTTGGCCATATTTGGATCGAAGAAAGGGATTACAGTGTATACTGCAAACAGACTACAACGATGAGAAACAACGCTTCTGGACCACGATATCAAGTACCAGTCTACTACAGCTTTTGAGCAAGCTAATACCTTTTGGATATCGATAGATTCCCGTATAAAAACGTCATAAGACACCCTTGTAGCAAATATAAGAGCATAAAAAGTTCATCGTGTATTGAATGGCGCATCCAACAGACTACCGATCGCCTTCGAAGTCATCAAAGAAACCACTAAAACTGACATGACATCAAGAAAAGTAAGGAGTTATCTTTGTACTAAATGACCCAACCATCACTTTGAAGGGGAACTTCTGCAATACTTTCGTCGACGTGACTCACCGATGGTGGTCGACTCATGTATTATGTCCGGTGATCAAATTGTTATTCTAGAATTATTGATCACAAGGTTCTCAAGCAGTTTCATCGTGGAATCAATAAGATAAAATCGTTGGCTCGAGATTACTCCTATTGGTCCCCAATGGACAGATATATCGAAAACAAATTCCGCAACCGTTCATCGTGTTTACAAGCTTCTAAAAACCATCCGAAATGCAAGCCACAGCCTTCTGGGCCCTCGGATAGATTTCACGCAGATTTCGCTCGTCCAGTAAGAGGTAAAATATTTCTATTTATTGTGGATGCATCTAGGAAATGGCTAGAAGTATATAGAAGGCCTACCTGTACAGCCTCAGAAACAATCAACAAGTTGTCTACTTTGTTTAGTTGTTTCGGAGTTCCAGAAACCTTAGTGATAGACAATGGCTCACAATTCATTTTGGACTCATTCAAGCAATTCTGTAGTGTTAATGGAACGACACATTTGCACTCTCCACCCTACCTTCTCTAATCGAATGGACGGTCAGAACGCTTTGTTAACACTTTTAAAAGAGCATTAATGAATGGGGACAACTAATTAAGTAATCACGAAATTCCTAACGGCTTACGGAACTACTCCCAGCCTTACTGTCCTATGTGGGAAGTCCCTTCTCGAAGTCATGTTTGGAAGACGTATTCGAACTACTATCTACGCCATATTGCCACCTAAAGTAGTGGATAGGCAAAGATGAGATCTGAAGGTAATCATTACTTTTAATTTTAGCGTTTTGTATAAGTCAATTAATCTTATGCCGTTTGCTGATTTTTCCGTTTCAAGTTTCATGGCTTTTCCTATGACGTTAGGATGGTTAATGTGTAGATCTTGACTTAGTCTGCAGTTAAATTCGCCTATCATTATTATTATAGAGTGTTCATTTACTTTTTTAATTATTTGTTGAAGTTTTTGGTAGAACTGTGTCTTTCTGATATCTTCATTAGAAGGCTCATTTGGTGCATAACATCCTATGAGAGTGGTGATTCGATTGCATTTTCTACAGTGTATTTAATGGTATCTATTCTACCACAATGTCCATACCAAATAATCTTATGTAGTCTCCAGGCATTGTTGCTCTGACCAGCAACATGTCGTACCGACGCGAGATAGCAATGAGAGACCACCATGACCATCTGCTTTTGTGCTTGAATGATTAAACAGCTCGGCCGGCGACAGCCAGTGAATTCGCAGAAGACAATCCATCATCCCGTAACTGGGGGACTTTGGACGAGTGTTTTTCGGTGCCTGAATTCATTCGGCTTTTAGGGTCAAAGCTTCATACTCGCTTTAATCGTCTTAATCTGCATAATTATGTAAAGCGTTAAATATGAGTAAATCAGATAGAAAACCATAATAACTAGTTTGGTGGGGTTTTCTTCACCCTAAATGCTGTAGTATTATTCAACCATCCATTCCAGATTTATACAACATTATATTCTTATTTTGAATTATACTCTCCTAGGTGCTACAGGTATAGAAGATCGTTTACAAAATGGTGTACCAGAAACTATTGACGCATTACGTGAAGCTGGTATGCATGTATGGATGTTAACAGGTGATAAACAAGAGACTGCAGTGAATATTGCTCGTTCAGCTAATCTGATTACATCACAACATAAAGTAATGTACATTAATTCACATTCAGAGGTATGTGTTTATTAACATAATGATCGAAAAGACCACGTTTTGCAGAATCATCATTTAACCGATAAGATAAAGAGACCTTTAACATCGTTTAAAAACGAGGAGTACTGATGATATACAGATTTAGATCACTGAATTATTATAAATCTCCAGTAGATCTTCAGAATGTCTTGTTAAGTAGTATCTATAGGCACAATACTTCCCTTTAATTCAAAACGCCTGATACCGCACCAAGCATACACACACGAAAATTCATGTTTGCTGATCAACTATAGCAGAGTGACAATATTGAAAAAAGTAAAATGAAATGTAAAGTGGAGGTTGGAGATAATTGACAGGAAATACTACTTGACCTAGTTTTCGTGTTATTTGCCACTCGTCGGCAATATGTACCTGTAATCTTAAGGGCTGGACTGACGCTCCCGAATTTCTGACGATTTCCTCTAACCACCACCACCTTACATCTCAATATAATTCACGTGGTGTCAGATTGCAACTTGATTGATAGGATTTGATAAGCACTGAGATGAACTTTACATACATTACATTGGTCAATACTCAGTGATCAAACAGTTATAGAATGGAGTGTGAAAAAAAAGAACACCTCCTTTACTAATCAGTTTGCGAGTTTGGATAATGTAATAAGAGGACGAAGATTATCGAAATTACGCAATATATATCAGAGCAATATATTTCGAATAATATGATCATACATATAAAAGATCAACCAGACGAATGAAAGGTAAAAGGAAATAAAGATATTAAAGAAAGTAATATCAAAAGCAATGGGAAACTCATCACGCTCGATAATAAATCAATATTAACAGGGTCGAACAAACTTTTTTGAGTACACGAATAGGGTTTGAATGTTCATACAACGTCGACAACCATCAATTCTGAGTTATGATCAATTTTATCGTCTACTTTAATTATGTGTTTCTCAATAGAGGAAGATGAATATTTATCATCTGCTCTCATTTAGTCATTTGCTTCTTTAACAATTTTGGTACATGTTCAAAGACCCCTTTCTGGTAATTCTCGACTACTCTTCCCTACTTATGTGAAGCCACAGACATGTAAATGTGATGCAATTGTTTACATGTAATTTAGGTATTTCGTAAAGCATGGATCTTGTTTATTCAATGATAATGCCCTTTAATGCATAGTACGTTTTACCAAGAACTCATTTAAGCCTTTGTTTCAACACAGACCTATTTGACTTTTATCTAGATGGTAAGGAGATATAGACAGGCTCCCTCAGTGCTAAAAGTATAGGTCTCACAATAATGTGACCTATCAATCGATTTAGGAATGTCAGGGTATAATCACTCTGCGTCAAAGTTTTGTTTGGTATCCACATTGTCAACAATGTCATACGGACATTCTCTCTTCGTCCTTTCAATTTTGTAAACAATACTTCCGCCATACGAATGCAGTGAGTGGGACTCTCCAATCGGTGGTTGTATGCACGTGGCCATGTAAGAGCATTTAGAGAGGGAGAGCTGATTCTCCTCACAATCGACCGTACCAGAACATTGGGGGAGGGTGAATTTCTGTTTCTCATTTTCAAAATTTTGATGTCTAGTTAATATCACCTTTGTCATGATGACTAATTTGGGAGATATCAACTCACTTAAGACAATTGGTGAAATGGTTGCTCAACTTCTTGGATTTATCGAAGTTAGACATTAACACCGTTGGATACTGGCTCACTAGTCTATCGGTTAAGTGCTCTCGTGCAAAACTAATAGATCCTGAGTTCGAATCTGGCGAGGCGAGATCATGGATGCGCACTGCTACTAAAAGTCCCACGATAGGACGAAACGGCCATCTAATGCTTCCAGGTTTTCAATAGTGTTCTGGCTTCCATTGACTCATAATTTCAACTATATACAAAAATTTCATATGATCAAATGTATTTCACATAATCATGCATCTTTCTTATTCCTTTTTTAGGCTCGTACAGAATATCTTTTAAATTCATACTTATATGGTATTATTAGTGGACAATTTTATGATGGTTTAAATGAATCAAATGATAAACTAGAAAAATTTTCTAATCCACGTTATTCTAATACTCAACAATACAGTCAAAATTATCAAACTAATTATCCAACTAAAAATAGATCTAATTTAATTCGATCATCATCACATTCACCACATCGTAGTCGTACTATACATCGTGTACGTATTATTCAAACACAGAAACCATCATCATTACCACGTGATATTACTTATTTTCATGAATATAGTAATCATAATAATAAAAATAAGATGAAAACAAAACAATCGAAATATATTTCTAAACTACTTAAATTTTATCATTTATTATTTACACATCATCATTATAATAAACAACAATCAATTCATTATAAAAGATATAATAATACTACTAATAATAGTAGTAATAATAATTCAATTTCATTAGCATTAGTAATTGATGGTGAAAGTTTAAATTATATATTAAATAATGAAAGAAATAAATTTAAATTTATTAAATTAATTGAAATGTGTACTAATATTATATGTTGTAGATCAACTCCTGGACAAAAGGTAATTATACATTCTATAGAATAGTTCTTTTTTTCTTTGATATTTCTAAAGTTACATATATGAAGTCATTTGATTGAATATATTTGGAAAGAGTTTTTGATAAAGCTCTGAAATGCCCTAGTAGAACCGAAAGTGGGGAGAGTCCACTCTCCCTCTCTCTCTCGAAATGTTCTTACATGGTCACGCGTATATAGCCTCTGCCACGGAAGTCCTATTCACTGTTTTCTCGTGGAATTACTGTTGTTTACGAAATTGAGAGGACGAAAAATGAATGTCCGGTGCTTTAACCGAAATGGTGGACACGAAAAGTCCATCTAGGGGAGTTGGGAAACTCTAATTGCAAAGCAATGGTTCACATGGGATTCAGTATCCTGAGGGAACAAATGGCGTATGGATCAATCGTTGGTCACCGACTACAATGGGACTGCATCTCCTCACGATGCTCCACTGTCTTGTGGATCAGATCTTTCGGTCAAAGGCCTCCGGGTGTGGTCCCCTAAGAGAACCACTTGCTTCGGTTTTGGCACCTGAGCAGTATCACAGCCCTCACACACCATATTGAATTTTTTTTTAAAAAAAACGGAAGTAACGTTGATTAAAAATCACGAATCAAAATCTGATTTTGTCTTTTTATCTCGTCATGTCACTAAGGCAAGACACCGATTGACATGGTAACCATCAAAATCAACTCAATGATATACTCAAATGGACCATATTTCCATCAGCTATCGTTGGAGACAGAAGATTCCTTCCTATTTTTGAGTTCATATTTCTGTCCTTAAAAAGCAAATTAGTCACTAAGCTTTAAAATTATTTTGACGAATTAAAGAAGGTGGCTAACCGGATTCACTGGCTTAGTGGACGATATGCTGGCATTTGAAGCAATAGATACTGAATTTGAGTCTTAGTGGAAACATTAGCACTAGAATGCAGTTATATTCATTTGACTAGTCTTAAATTTCGACGAAACATGGATAGTGGATATCAACAATAGTCGCAACCCAAATAAGATGATTTATTTTATATTTAACTAGATAATTACAATATGCTTTACTGTCACTTAATTAACCATTTTATATTGAGAATCGCTATAACTTTAATTTTGTTAGTACATAATAACACAGCTTTTATGAAATATGACCCTGTGTGAATCACTATGTTTAAGTATCTATATTCGAGGCACACATTGTGTTTGCAGACTACTGATACTATTCAATTGTCCAAGTCGTAAGAGTCATAGAGGGAGGTTCTAACCGGAAACTTAATGGTCAGTTGATAATCGTATGATTTATTCATAAATTCACCGTATCAACATTACACATCAACCTCTTTGACCATGAGAAAGCATTTGAAGGAGCGCATAGGAGAACATTATGGAACATTCTTTGCTACTACAGAGTACCGGAAAAGGTCGTTACCATCATCCGGAATTCATACGACGAACTACGCTGCAAAGTTGTGCATGAAGGACAGCTGAAAGATGCATTCCAAGTGAGAACCGGAGTCAGACAGAACTGCCTACTCTCTCCCTTTCTCTTTCTTCTGGTGGTTGACTGGATTATGAAGACCTCGACATCTGACGAGGAGGCATGGAATACAATGGACAGCTCGGAATCAACTAGATGATTTTTACTTTGCAGATGACCTGGCTTTTCTATCCCATGCACATCAACAAATGCAGATGAGGGCAACTAGTGTAGCAGCAGTCTCTTCAGCATTAAGTTTCAACATACACAAGGTAAAAAGCAGGATCTTCAAATACAACACAGAAAACACTAACTCAATCATATTTGATGGAGAAGCTCTGAAGGAGATGGAAACTTTCACGAACCTGGACAGCATCATCATCGATGAACAAGGAGGATCGGATGCAGACGTTAAGACAAGAATTGAAAGAGAAAGGACAGCATCCCTACAGTTGAAGAATATATGGAGCTCAAAACAACTACCAACCAATATGAAAACGAGAATCTTGACTACGAGCATCAAGACTGTCCTTCTACTGTATGGAACTGAAATTTGTAGAACTACGACAGCTATCACCAAAAGAGTACAAGTATTTATAAACAACTATCTACGCAAGATATTGAATACCATAATAAGATATTGATACCATTAACAATAACGTACCGTCGAAGAGAACAAACCAGCCTCGAGATGAAGAGAAAATTAGGAAAAGATAATGAAAGTGGGTAGGACAAACATTTCCGAAATCATCAAACCGAATCACGAGGCAATCGCTAACTTGGAATCTTGAAGAAAAAAGAAAAGAGGAAGGTCAAAAAAATACAGTGTACCGAAAATTGGAAGCAGACATGAAAAGGATGAATAACAGTTGGAAACAACTGGAAAGAATTGTCCAAGATAGAGTTGAATGGAGAATGCTGCCTAGTAGCCTATATTCCTCGAGGAGAGGTAATAGGTGTAAGTAAGTAAGTCACCGTATAATCCTCTAGAAATTTTTAAAGTTATCAATATACATACATAAGAATGAAAGTATTATATCTGATAACAATCTTTTTTCTATTTATTTAGGCTGCTGTAGTTTGTTTAGTTAAAGATGAATTAAATGCTCAAACATTAGCTATTGGTGATGGTGCAAATGATGTTAATATGATACAAGTAGCTAATGTTGGCATTGGTATTAATAGTGGTGAAGAAGGTATGCAAGCTGTTATGGCATCAGATTTTGCTATCAGTCGATTTTATTTACTTAAACGACTATTACTTGTACATGGACATTGTTGTTATGATAAACTTGCACATGCTTCTTTATATTTGTTTTATAAAGATGCAGTAAGTGAATATAATTTCAATGAATATTCAGTATTATTATTATTATTATCCTATATTATCATTTCTATATACAGTATTGTTTATGAAGCTGTATAACTTTAGGTATTCAATCAAAAAAGGGCATACATTAATAAAGCTAGACCACCAGGGAAAACATGGAAGCACTGGACGGCCGTTTCATCCTATTATGGGACTCCTCAGTAGCAGTGCGAATCCACAACCCCGTCTCGCAAGATTCGAACCCAGAACCTACCAGTCTCGCGCCAGAGCACTTAACCTATAGACCACTGAGCTGGCCGGCATCCAACGGTGTTCATCTCTAACTTCAACCAATCCACGAAGTTTGAGCAACCGTTCACCAATTGTCTTCAGTGAGTTCCTATCTCACAACAGACGTGATTGAACTCCACTGGTCTCTGCTTCTCATTAGAACATCAGGACATGTATCTTGAAGTCAGTCACTAATGAACATATGATTACAGATCAGAAGGGGTTTTGTGGAGATTTCAGTATTTTCATATGTTCAATTTACCCTCTTTCGTAGAAGTCCTTCTTAGAAAGGTTAATGTGATCGAGAGATTCTGTAGAGGTTTTAGCCAAACTATTGATGTTCTAAAAAAGAACACATTATAGATAGACCGAAAATCGAACATTCTGTTGCAGAAATCTAACAATAGCACTTAAAACAGAAAGTATAAGAAGGTAGCAGTGTGGTGTGGTCTACTTATATCCACATAAGTGGTATATGGTGATGGTCAGACACAGAATGTATGAATGAACAGTTAAGATTGAGACAATTGATTGTTAGTTTGCAAATTAACTGTTGACTGTATGGTTATCAGAGTTTAGTGAGATAGTCTGAAATTTTGTGCTTAAATACATTCGATTGTCCCCACCAATGTTCTTGTTCACTACAGCAATACTTATTAATTTGGTCGTAGAATATTACGAAAATAGGTCGATACTAGACTATCTAAATGGAATAATTGCATATTACTTTAGGATTTTAAAAGTAACGGATGTTGATGTAGGTTTGTTCTCTGAGCTGGATGGTTTGGTCGACCAAACCATCCAGCTCAGAGAACAAACCTACATCAAAATCACCCACCTGAGCTATAAATCTTTTCCACCATCTCAGTAACGGATGTTTTCAGCATTTAAAACTTATTCAAAGTGAAATTCATCAAACATTTTCAAAGTGTCCCTCCAAATAGACTATCCCCCAACTGTTCAAAATAGACGTACGAAATAATATGACTATGATTATAAAAATAACTAGTTATTACCAGATTCAAAGAAAAAAAGTAGAATCTTCATTAGACGTTTAGAGAACTACTTTTCGATTTGTTGTAGAGCAGAGAGAGATAGAAGGCGAATCGAACGTATTTCACTCAACTTGGTAAACAACTGAGTTCTTATGGAATATTTATCCAAATTTTCTGAAGGTTCCAGTTGATGTAACTGACACATATTAGTTGAATTCTGTCAACATATTAAATTGTTACCTATCAATATTTAAGATGACAATTTGAACTCACACATATATGTGCCATATGTCTACGTTGCTTATGATTGAGTAACTAACATCAAAGGTTGACATACTATTAATTGGTTATAATCACTAACTATATCTAGTAACAACATTACTGTACGTACCAACTATTGACACTAGATGGCCCCCAAATGCCCTGGTACGGCCGAGAGTGAGGAGAGTCCGCTCTCCCTCTCCAAACGATCTCACATGGCCATGCGTATATAGCCTCTACCTGAGAAGTCCTACTCACTGCCTTCTCGTACCACGGGTGTTGATTACGAAATTGAGAAGACGAAAAGCGAATGTCCGGAGCTTTAACCGGGTTGGTGGACACAGCGAGTCCACCTAGGGGAGTTGGAAAACCCTGATTCCAAACCAATGGTGCACATGAGCTCCAGTATCCTGAGGAAGCAAATGGCGTATGAATCAATTGTTGGTCACCGGCTACCATGGGCCTGCATCTCCTCACGATGCTTCACTGCCTTATGGACTAGACCTTTAGGTCAAAGGCTCAGAGCGTGGCCCCTTGAGAAAACCATCTGCTTCGATTTGGGCACGTGGGCAGTATCACAGCCCTCACACAACTCTCATTTGATTTGTGTGGCGCATATATATCTGGTGCCCGTTTGTACCAATATTTATGTGTTCAAATAAATAAACTATTGACACTCCACACAAAATTCCCGTTCATTCCCAGTTTACTAACCAGAACATCGGGAAAACTAGTCATATCTCTGTATTCTTCAGACTTAAAACCTCACGTAATTATATACGTAAAATAAAAGACCACAACACACCATAAATGATAAACTGTAATCTTTATGTAGTACAAATCTACTGGAATTTACAAAAGTTAAAATGCAGCAATATTTAATGAGAAAAACAAACGTCTACAATTAATATTATCAGAAACGGTTTTGTGGAGATTTAGTATTTTCATATTTGCAAGCGTGAGTCAATTGAAGTTAAGTGCGCGAGAATGGTAGGTCCTGGGTTCGAATCTCGTGAGGCGAGGTCATGGATGCGCACTGCTGAGGAGTCCCACAATAGGACGAAACGGCCGTCCAGTGCTTCCAGGTTTACAATTAAGACAATATGAAAATACTACTACAACAACAACTACTACCATTGAACAAGTAAACATTAAAAATGTATATCACTGAATCTTTGGGGAATGACCTAATTCTAACATATTTCCTTTCTCAATATTTGTCCTAAGGCAAGGTGAGAACGCCATTCTAATTTGATACCTATCATATGAATATTGTTTAGAATAAATATAACTTTACTAGTCAACTAGACAATTTATTGAACAAGGTAAAAAAATTTCACTGACAAAGTTGTCTAAATCATGCCATTTTTGTTTACCTTAGTTACAGTCTACCTTGAAACATAATGAAGTGGGAAGTGTTGAAGATACTAGATCCTTAGAAATCACTTCGTAAACGTCTGATTTTTATAATTTTGTTTTGGAAATTTGAATTCCTCGTTTTTGCGCCTTTTACCTTCAGATTATATTTCCGACTTGGAGGGATCTTAAGTGTCATTGGTTCATTACCTTTTTTAATACACTAGTTTGTGATGTTTCCCAAGGACCTTTTTATACTGTATATATACACTTTAGTTGTGTGCTTGATTGTTCATGCTTCTCGCTGTTTGTGGAATGTACCTTAACCTGATATTCTCCCTGTAATTAGCAGGGCTGGTACGCATCGGAATAGTTTAGCTTTTCTGATCGTTGTGTCTCTGACCTTTCGTTCCGTTTGCCGATTTAGGTATTCTAGTAATGTCTTCAAGCATAACAGTAAGTGAAAGTATAATTAGGAAATTTATATTTTAAATAAACTGAAATATATAAAAATCGTTTATATTTTTACTCAGGTTTAGGTAAATTTGAATTGAATTTGTACTTATACTGACATATGAAAGTCCTGTACAAGACACATATGTATTCTTTAACATATTCCTTCAATCAGAAGGGGTTTTTTGTGGAGATTTCAGTATTTTCATAGTTGAAAGTATGAGTCAATTGAAGTTAGACTATCGGTTAAGTGCTCTGGCGCGAAACTGGTAGGTCCTGGGTTTGAATCTCGCGAGGCGAGGTGGGATCGTGGATGCGCACTACCACTGAGGAATCCCATACTAGGACGAAACGGCCGTCAAGCAGTGCTTTCAGGCTTTCCATAATGGTCTAACTTCAATTGACTCATGCTTTCAATGATATAAATATTCATTTAAATTAATTTTACACTTTCTTTATTTAAATTTATAGGTTTATATATTCCTCTTATTCTGGTTTCAAATGTTCAATGGTTTTTCGGGTAGTAATGCCATAGATCAATTATCACAAATGTTATTTAGTGTTACAATGACTGGTTTACCACCATTTATTATGGGTATATGGGATAACCCATTAGATGATAAAACTTTATTAGCTAATCCTATATTATATAGATCTGGAATATATGGTAATGTAAGTGTATTGTGTATTACTCATTATTCATTATTATTATTATTATTATTATTATTATTACTATTTGAATAGGTTATAGAGCTCTATCATTTACCATTAAGGAGTTCAATATACGGTTTTCTCATGTAATCTTCATTGATATAGAAAGTTTTAACTTTACCCATATTGGGTATGATACCTCAGTCAGTCAGTCAGTCAGTCAGTCACAACGTAGAACTTCGTACGTACGTACGTACATCAGTTCGAGTTGCCAAACCACATTAGCACAGAGATGCAGTTGTCGATTCAAATCCTATAGTGGTAGAAGTAGTAAGAGTATAAGCATTATGTGAAAGATTAGGTTTTGAAGATGTTATTGAAGGAGTATAATCCAGTGAAATAAATTTGGAAAGAGAAAAAGGATAGGGACATGAGGAATACAGAAGATTGGAATTTGGGAGAACACAAAGAGTGGATGCACCTTCGCCATTGCAAACGATTTTGAGCCATGTCATTCAAGGTCTCTACCCATCGGTTGCTATCATCTCGCGAATCCCAACCAGGTAGTCCACACCAACCAACATGGCTCAGTCCACTTGTCAGTGACTTCATGGATTTATGCCACGTTTTTGTCTGGCCGCCCCCATCTTCCTTCCAACCTACTCCTAAACCTAGTGTTAAATGAATGCATTGCATTTTAATCAAACAGGTTTACCTTAAGTGATTTTGTATTATTTAAATTTGATACTTCCAGAGGTTCAAATTACTTGTCGATATTCAGCGAAATATCGACCCTAACCCTTGTCTGTGGGTTCGATGGAGTTGTTTAAAGTGTTTTAACCACCTTCGCTGCTTCTCTGCATCCTCAATGATTAGTTTTTCCTTCTTTATCCCTGACTGGTCGCTCATGTCCACTATATTTCTCTACTAGCTTCTTGGTTTTGACATGTGATTCTTCGTATTTCTTTCTCTGCTTATATTCAGTTGTTGTTAACTGCTGTCATCTTATCCTCCCCTTCTTGTATCTTGCCCAGGTTATCGACAGAAACCCTTTCCTTATTCTCGGGATAATTGGGACCCAACACCTGGCCTGTTGGAGTTATTTGTTTTCTAATCTCTTTCCAATTTCTCTCCATAAACGTTTCCTTTTCTTGTAGTAGGTCTTGTAAGACTTGGAACTTGTTACTGAGAGCTATCTTGGACTCATTGAGCTTGTTAGTATGTTGAAGGAAGTCTGTATTAAACTTTTAAAGTGCTACTCATCCCATCATCCCATACTTCTTGAGCTTCAGTTCAACCTTGGTCACCACTTGACGATACCCTGAAGCTTCAGCTTCATTCTTTATTCTTACATCTTGCATGAACCATCTAAATTTCTCCATGCATATGTGTTCAATCTGGTTTTCTGAAGTATTACCCGGCGAAATTTTGTATTTGCGTTTGTGGAGGGAAATCTTACCACATGTGACCATTTTGTTGAAAGGATACGGATTTGCCAGTCTCTTACCATTCTTATTTCTTTCTCCAAGTTCATGCTACACTACGGTACGTTGGTATCCAGTGTTGTTCATCTCTATTTTATCTTTTAAACCCCCAATCAGGATAGCCAGGTCTTTTACTAAATCTTTCTTCAGAATGAACTACAGCCGCTCATAAAACTGGTCTTTTTATCATCTTAACTACCACCATTGAAGTTGAAGTAGTACTTGATGACATTCGCTGTAATCCTTTCCTTTGTTTTTAAAGGATTCTTTGATAGTCTTCAAGCTTAAAGTTTTTCATCCTATAAGCTCTTTGTGCTTCTTTGTACTGTATCACTGCAACTACTCGTATGTGGAGGAAAAAACATTTTCTTCCTCATGACCAAAATATAACGATATTCCCCCGGATGTTAGCCTTTTTTTTCTATATTTTGTCCAAGGATTTTCACTTATTCCAAGCACCGCTAGATTGTATTTTCACATCTCTGGGGTTATCTGAATGATTTTTTTGGTCTTCAACTTTTTTCGAACACTCCACTTCTATAAACTTATTGTCGTCCTAATTTTCAAGGCGGACCACAGTCTCGTTGCTTCCAGAGACTCGTGGTTTTGATCAAAAAGAGTCATAGTTCTTCCACATGAAAGACCATTCAACTCCCAGAGTAAAGTTTAGTAGATTGAATTAGTTTGCTCTAGTCATCAATTTTCTAGAAAGATTCTTTCTTACGAGATCTAGCTGATAAAAGTTCGCATAATCTTTTTGTTTACTTGGGCTTGAAACCAGCAGTGTAACTGTATAGAAACTCCTGGAAAACAACTGGAAATGAGAACCCAAGATAAAGTAGGTTGGAGTGTCTTTGTCGGCAGTTTTTACTCCTCCACGAAGGTTAACAAGATTAACCAAGTTATTAAAACCTAAGCTTAAATTTTCTCGTTTTATTTATTTTCGATTAGTTTTTTTCTTTTCTTTTTCAATATTAATTCTTTTTGTTAGGCTTATCGTCCATGGTTATTTTGGATGAATATTTTCGATGCATTATGGCAAAGTTTAATAGTATTCTTTCTATCCTATTTTACTTATTTTGATGATAATATTGGTTTATGGGAATTTGGTTTATTCCAAACAAATGCAACAATTCTATGCACATTATTTCATTCATTAATAATCACTAGAACAATGGTAATTGATTGTTTGTTTGTTTTAAAAATAACTTCCATTCGTTTGAACAATATTCTTTGTAAAGTACATACATTTTCAAAAGGGGTTTTTGTGGAGATTTCAGTATTTTCATAGTTGAAATCATGAATCAATTGAAGCTAGACGACCAAGGGAAACCTGGAAGAACTGGACGACCGTTTCATTCTATTGTGGGACTTTTCAGCCGTGCGCATCCATGATTTTGCCTCGCGAGATCGGAACCCAGGACCTACCAGTCTCGAGCCAGAACGCTTAACCACTAGACCACTGAGCCAACATCCGATGGTGTTAATGTCTAACTTCAACCAATCCACAAAGTTTGAGTAACCGTTCATCAATTGTCTTCAGTGAGTTCCTATCTCACAACAGACGTGGTTTGAACTACAGGAAATATCTCATGGAGCCAGTCACTAGTAAGCATATAATGAAGAGTCCCACAATAGGACGAAGCGGTTGTCCAGTGCATTCTTGAACCTAGCTAGGTTACTTCCTTGTCATTATTCCACTGCGCTACCCTATCAGCAAAATAAAATCTTGGAAACAGTATCGATTCTCTAAGATATTTTTCAAATTAGTTTAGTTTAAATTCAAACATTGAACAGCATTCTCAAGTCACACTTTACTTTGGTCTAATTGTGATACAAGGAGTATAAACCACTACTTCCATACAGATAGTTTCAAAGCATTTACAAGGCTATTGAAAATATATCATAAGTCCTTATCGCCGTTTCAGACTTGATTAAGACTTGAAACTTGTGAGACATCAGGTGAACAGTTCGTCTAAACAAACTAGTTCAATCTTGAGTTGAATGAGCCAGATGTGCAGTATTTAATTGCTATTTAAAGACAGTAGACCTTTCAATAACGTTGTTGGTATATCCTACGGATTTGTAAACCAGCATTAGACCTTCACCCACAGTTTCACATTAACTGACACTGAATCTGATGAGTAACTTTTTAGATCTTATGTTGTTATGGCTTAACGACCTCTAGCTAAGCCACCAATCAGAATTCTAGTTTCTATGACTTGGTGTCCAATGATCAGTAGTGACCTTGAGTCAATTGCTAAGTCCCTACTGGCCCATGAATCTATAGATTCTCTCTTTACCCTACTCTTGAGTTTAGAAGTCGGTAACGAACTTCCACTACATTATATTTCAAGTAGATATATAGTTTATTTAGACATACCAAACCAAATCACATTATAAAATGAAAAGTAATTATTATACATAATCAAATCAAAAAGTGGCTGTGAGTAGAAGAGACTGTATATAATAAGCTGGCAACAGACTAAGAATAGTAAGCAAAGATGGATAGTGACTAGCAGTGGAATCCAGTTTGACGCGCGTTTCGTTCTATTTAGGACTCGTCAGCTGGATGTACCTGCATCTCAGAGTTGATGTTCACTCTGGGACTCGAACCCGGTCCTAACACATCGATGAGAAGATTCAAACAAACAATACTAAATGAGATTAAGAACAGTAAATCCCATATTAGTTAATGGGTCGAAATTTGAAGATGGACTTCATTTAGCTATTTAGTCTCTTCATTTGATCAAGTAATATTTACTTTTATAAAAGAAGTAATTATAAGCTGTACTACTGATGTACGAAGTACTATTCCATACAGACTATTTCAATATAGAAACAAATGTGTTGTATACACTTGAATTAACCACAGTTTTTTTCTTTATTTCTTTTTGTTATTAGGTTGTATTGCATGCAGTTAGCTTTTTTGTTAGTTATATTCTATCATATTTAATATTTACAATGATCTATCATGCATTTGCTGTTACTATTGTTCCACCTGAATGTCCTTATCGAATTATTTTCCGTGTAATGAATGATGTCAAATTTTGGTTACTAACATTGGTTACTATTATTTTGGCATTATTACCAAGGTGAAGTAAATAATATTGTTAAATATATTGACTAAATATTTTTTTTATTTAATAGTTGAAAGCATGTGTCAATTGAAGCTAGACCACCAGGGAAAACATGGAAGCACTGGACGGCTGTTTCATCCTATTATGGGACTCCTCAGTGCGCATCCACGACCTCGCCTCACGAGATTCGAACCCAGAACCTACCAGTCTCGCACCAGAACACTTAACCGATAGACCACTTAGCCGACCGGCATCCGATGGTGTTTATGTCCAACTTCAACCAATCCACGAAGTTGAGCAACCGTTCACCAATTGTCTTCAGTGAGTTAATACCTCACAACAGACGTGATTGAACTCCACTAGTCACTGCTTCTCACTAGAACTCCAGGAAATACCTCATGGAGCCAGTCACTAGTGAGCATATGATTATTACTATCAGAAGGGGTTTTTGTGGAGATTTAGTATTTTCATAGTTGAAAGCGTAAGTCAATTATTGAATTTATCAGTCGATTAAAGTTAGACCACCATTGAGAACCTGGATGCATTGGACGGTTGTTTCGTCCCAGTATGTGACTCCTCATCAATGCGCATCCCCGATACCGCTCACTGGATTTGAACCAAGGACTTATCTGTCTCGCGCGCGAACGCTTAACATTTAGACCACTGAGTCGGCATTCAACGGTGTTAGTGTCTAACTTCAACGATTCCTTTTTTTAATGTACCTTAAATTCTTCCGTGAGCATAAATCTAATTTTCCAATGGGAGTGACTTAGATCGAAATATGGAATGATACATACTGTGTTGACTAAAATTTCAGATTGAGTGAGGATCCGAATTTAGTACAGTAGAATCTAAATGATCTAACTTGAAAAATTATGTGATAATGATTTATACATGAATAACTGGAATAATAAATTATTTTGAATTCATTTGTATTAGCCGTCGGGTTGTGCGATTGAGTGAAATGCACAAGACAGTGGCTATCAGTACTCAGTAGCTAAGTGGATAACGCGAGTCCCGGAGTGAACATCAACTCTGAGATGCAACTGCATCCAGCTGATAACTCCTAATTAGGACGAAATGTGCGTCTCTGATTCTACTGCTAACCACCATCCATCTCTGCTTACAACACCTTTTTTGTGAATTAACGCAATGTTAATTATATATTTCCTCTATTTTCTAAGTGTTACCCTGACCTCAACAAAACAATGATTCTCTATGAAATAGATCTTTTAAGATTCCTCATTTGATGTAAATGAACGTTTAACAGTAACATTTTACTGCTTTGTAAAACGACATCTGCACTGAATACATTTTATTCAAATATTTATACCTGAACATTATGTTGAAGATTTGTAGCTTAGATCAATGATTTTGACAGTGTTACTTTCTTCGAGCTGTCAGTCGGTCATTGCCAACGTAGAACCTGTCACATATGTAAGCTAGTTGAAGTTGCCGCATCACATGAGTACACCTGGATTAGTTTACCAAGACAAAAAGGATAGTAGTAGAATTATCAGTAGTATCAGTGAGAATAAATATTGGGAATGGACAATAAGATCTGAGAAAAAAGAATGAATTCGAGGAACAAAATGTATCAAATAGCTTTAAAATCAAGTATCTAAGGGAAAACAAGGAGTTACTAATTCTTCAATATGTCTCCCATCATTGATCACAGGTATCGCTTCAATCCTAACCAGGTAGTTTGCATCTACCAATATGGCTCAGATCAAGAATCTCTGACTACATAATCTGACATCAAGTTTCGGTTTCGTCAATCCTAGCTTACTTCCAATCTATTCTTACACTAGCAAACGTCACTGAGCTATATGACCCAACTACAAAGCTTTCATTATCATTCTTGACATCGTCAACTCAGTCTATTTGAAGTAAGTGTCATTTATACTCTCCTGTATCGCAGTAAAAACTTTACAGCTAAATCATCTACTTCCGAAAACATAATACTAAAAAATTAATGACAATTCATCAAACAAAAGTTTTCCGACGGTATCATCTTCAAAAAGCTCGTTTGGCTTTTGCCAACTTACATCACCTATGGCGAAGACGAGATATCTGTCTATCAATTAAGGGACGAGTATACTGCACAGCAGTTCGCTCTGTTCTACTTTACAGCTGTGAAACGTGACCATTAAGAGTAGAAGATACTTGTAAGCTACTAGTATTTGACCACAGATGCCTTAGAAATATTTCTCGCATCTACTGGGATCACCGGGTATGTAATAGTGAGGTTAGACACAGGGTATTAGGGAATGATGGTAAATCAGTTGATGAAGTGATGAATCTTCATCCATTGAGATGGTTGAGCCACTTGTTACGTATGCCTGAACATCGATTACCACGACGCCCTATGCTGACTAGTATTGGGGATGTTTGGAAGAGAGTTAGTGGTGGTCAAACTAAAACGTGGCATCAGTGCTTGAAGTCACTAACTTCTAGCCTCAGCCATGTTGGTAGATGCAGACTACTTGGTTGGGGTCCGCGTAACCAATGGTTGGAGACTCTGTGTGACAAGGCTCAGAATCGACCACAATGGCGCAGGTGTATACACTCTTTATCTTCCCTTAAACCTTGAGATTAAAATTGCTTTATAACTTTTTTCCTTCCTATACTAATCCTTATATACAACCTTTCTTTTATATACTACCACCACTAAATTAACTATTTCTATGAATCCGTTGTTCATCTTGTTTTGCTTACGAAGTATGGCAACTTGGACCGATGCATATCTGTGCCTGGTCCTACGTTGTAGTTGACTGACTGACGGTATCATCTACTTAACCTGTACAACTATATTTTTAATGATTTATTCAATATATTAGTCTATCATCAGTTTCTGATATCTAAACATGGTAGTGTAATCATTAAAATATTCATTTTATCCTTCAGTCAACTATGTAATGTGATGCTCAGAAGTTTGGTAGTGTAACTTCTTAGCTGTATCCCCAATATAATTGGCTTCATAGGAGCAGCTGTAATGGAAAATATTCATAGATCCAGAGGAACTTAGTGGTTTATCTTTATTTCTTGAACTCATCACTGGATCGCTGAAGAAAAATAATCTGATCTTGCAGCATTGAATGTTAGTCCTACTGTAGTGAACAGAACACTAGTTGGAACAATCGAATGTATTTAAGCACAAAATTGCAGACTATCTCACTAAATTCTGATAACCATACTGTGTAAACAGTTAATTTGCAAAATAACAATCAATTTTTTCAATCTTCACTGTTCCTTTTGTAAATATCAGTCCATTTTTTCTGATTTCATTGTTCATGCATTTTCATATGAATCGCGCTTCATTCCTGTTCTTTCCTTATCGATCTTCTGCCAAAATACATTCTATGTTTGACCATCACCATATACTACTTATGAGGATATAAGTAGACCACACTACACTACAACCTACTCCATACATTGAATTATCATTTCACCAACTGGCTTTTATTTCTTCAATTTCTGTATTTTGAGTATATATATATTACTTATAAAACTATATTAAGTAGTTAGATATTATCATTCGACCCATACATTCCTTTTTTTATGTATTCTTTTGTTTCCCTTTTAACAGATTACTTATAATTATAATTAAAAATACTTTCTATCCAAATATGGATACTATTGGTAATTTATTAGCAAAACGTTTAGGTCGTGGTAAACATTTACCATTAGAACAATATCTATTACATATACCTTATTCATTAATGATGAGAAGTCGATTTTCTTCTATACTGCCAACAATGAATCGTTTATCTTCATGTACATCTGAAATTAATTTCAATAAATTAATAAATAATCCAATAGAATATAATACATCATCCATAAGTCATGCTTCAATTCATTCAGATATGAATAGAAATTTAATTCAAATTACTGAAACACCAATTCATTTAATGACACATTTAACTCAAATTCTTAATGTTAGTAGTCAAATCATAAGAGGTGTACAACCTACTACTACTCCTACTAACGGATATCTTGAAGAAGAAGAAGTTCCACATCATTCTACTGGAACTGATCATCATCATCATCAACGATCTAGTACTATACCTAAAATCATAACAGATTATAGAAATAATCAATATGATCAAAGTTATCACCAGAAACGTCATCATCGACATTATCATACATTTAGTGGAAATGTATTATTTAATCATAGACTATTAATACAATATCAGAGTAAAACTAATTTTGATGATGAAACTAATAATGAATGTTGTGGTAAAGATTCTGGGAAATCAAGAATACCTGCTCTATGGCCAGCAATTAATCCTAATAATAGAATAACAAATAGTATACAAGCATTGAATAGTTCAATTAATGATGATCTTTCAAGTAAGAATAGAATTTTATATGATAGGATTGACAATAATGTACACCTTTTTCATTGAAATCATTTACTTAGAGACTGACCACTTATAGTCGTAAAACATCAATGGGAAGATTCAAACAAAACAATATTAAGTGAATTTAAACTACACCCCATTGCACAAGCAAGTGGCTATTAGGACTCACTGGCCGACCGGATAACGCGAAGGCGTTTGAAGCAAAAGGTACTGGGTTCGAGTTCCACAGTGAACATCAACTCTGAGATGCAGGCACATCAGCTGACGAGTCCCAAATAGGACGAAACGTGCGTCAAACTGGATTCCACTGTTAGCCTCTATCCATCTTTGCTTACCATGCTTGTGAATTTAGGCTATATCGAGGCAATACTCACAGTATTCACATATGCTAATTAGAGACTGACTAGTTGCAGTCCTAACACATCAATGGAAAGATTCAAACAAAACAATACTAAGTGAATTTCATTTACTTAATGTTTAGTTTTACAATTCAAAATACGGTAGTCTATTTAGGTTTGTACTGAGACGTTTTGTAATACTGTAATGAGCTTCTTAATGACAGCCAAAAAAATTGAATCCTCAGGTACTTTCTAGTTTCATCAAATTATTCAGTTATTCCGTGGTAACAAAATGTTTAAGCCCCCAAATGCCCTGGTACGGCTAAGAGTGGGGAGAGTCCGCTCTCCCTCTCGAAATGTTCTCACATGGCCAGCGAATATATAGCCTCTGCCAGGGAAGTCCTACTCACTGCCTTCTCACAGCGGCGGGGGTGTTTTTTACGAAATTGAGAGGACGAAAAGCGAATGTCAAGCGCTTTAACCGGGTTGGTGGACACGGATAATCCACCGAGGGGAGTTGGAAAACCCTGATTCCAAACCAATGGTGGACATGAGCTCCAGTATTGTGAGGGAACAAATGGCATATGAATCAATCGTTGGTCACCGACTATCAAGGGACTGTATCTCCTCACGATGCTCCACTGCCTTTTGGACTAGACCTTTAGGTCAAAGGCTTTGGGTGTGGCCCCCTAAGAAAACCACCTGTTTCGGTTTAAGTACGTAGGCAGTATCACATCCCTCACACAAATCAAATGAGATTTGTGTGGCGCATATGTGTCTGGTGCTTCCTTGTACCAATATTTATGTGTTTAAATAAAATAAAATAGGCGGATTTCATGTTTGTAGCTGAATAGTATTGCGTTAAACAAGAAACTAGTCTTTTCTCAAACTATTGAGCTGACAAATCTCTTTTATGCATCCTTTTCTAATACTTTTGCACCATAACTTAACACTACCACCTTATGGGGAACAATGTATTCTGTTAATTCATGTGAAATATGTGACTAAACCACTCTAACTATTAAATGCACCTTCGATACATCGTTTATGATGGTTGAAAACGAAGTTTTATAGTGTTGTGGTATTTTACAGTTGACATCTCAGATGGATCTTAATTAAACAACCATTGGAAACTAAGAATCACTGGACATCTATTTCATCGTAGTATGAGACTCCTACTGTGGTATATGTTACCTATGTCTGTCGACATAACTAATATGCAGCATCAATCGGAAATCGAATACCTGACAGTAAAAGATTGAGAAGATCGAATTGAAGAGAACAGAAATGCAAACAGAGAATCATTGTATTTTACGAAAACATTCTATAATGTTGTATTAATCAATTTATTGGTTATCCGCACCAAGACTTTTTTCGTTACACTAGATGTGTACATTTAAGACCGCACCAAAGGTCGAACCCAGAACCCTCAGGTTCCGTACCTAACTCAGTCATTACCTAGCTAAGGTCAGCCCATTATTCGAAGCTTCATATTACTTGGATTTAATAATGATAAGACTGTTTTATATTCATTACTTTCATTAAAAATTGGACACTATCAATATCATGAATCCTGATTTCACACATTTCTTCACTTTCACAGCTATTGGTCATAGGAGTAGAGGATCAAAATGTCAAAAACAAACACAACAACAATACTCTACATATCCTTCAGCTCGATATTCATCTGGACATAGACCACCATTATATCAAGATGGACGTTTCCCTTTCGAATTAGATCCAAAAGAATATCCGTCCACTTATCAATGTCAAAAAGAAGTTAACAAATTTTAGGAGTTATTAAATCAATAGACAACTTTCTTTTTATAAAACCTTTGTGCCTCTTTGTTTATTAGAACTTACTTTAACACTTCTAATCTGTATGAAATGTCCGCTTATTGTAAATAAATTCCTTCATCTCCATTCTTTTATCCTAAGTGGTTACTTCTACTAATTTACAACTATATATTCTTCAACTTCTTGTCTATTCCTTCCACCTTACGAATTATTTATCCATTCCATATAGAACTATTTATTCACTCAGTATTGTACAGATTAATATTATCATGGTGTATAGTGACATTATTCAGATTGCTTCAGATAACATTCTGAAGATGACTTGTGCTGTTCTTATGTGTACAGAAGGAACTTAATTTTAACTAAGCTAACAACTATGGTAAGCAAAGATGGATAGTGATTAGCAGTGGAATCCAGTTTGACGCGCATTTCGTCCTATTTGGGACTCGTCAGACGGATGTACCTGCATCTCAGAGTTGATGTTCACTCTGGGACTCGAACCCAGTAACTTTCGCTTCAGTGGCCGAGTGGATAACGCGATGGCGTTTGAAGCGAAAGTTACTGGGTTCGAGTTCCACAGTGAACATCAACTCTGAGATGCAGGCACATCAGCTGACGAGTCCCAAATAGGACGAAACGTGCGTCAAACTGGATTCCACTGTTAGCCTCTATCCATCTTTGCTTACCATGCTTGTGAATTTAGGTTATATCGAGGCAATACTCACAGTATTCACATATGCTAATTAGAGACTGACTAGTTGCAGTCCTAACACATCAATGGGAAGATTCAAACAAATAATATTAAGTGAATTTAAGCTAACAACTATTTGTGTTATTTTGTGTTTGTATCCTTGTGTAGAAGCATACCCAGTCCTGAATCTTTCGCCTTTTATTACAAAAAGAAATAATAATACTAATCCAATAGTTCGTTAGAATCACCTTGAATAGTTGATTGAGTTATTAGATTTATTGTTAGTTCTTCTAAACGAACCCGTATTCAAACTGAAAATTTATTGTGATTAGGAAAATTATGACAAATAGCCCTGACTCTATTTTCTTGTACAGGTATTATTGACTGGTATTCGTGTGGACAGAATTAGCTTTTTAGTGTTTCTTGATCATAAACTTGTTGTTATTATCATCTTTACGCTTTAATAGGGAGTTTCTGTACCTGTCAATGTCAGAGTAATTTGTTTCCTGTCTATGTAAGTAGTTAGACATTTTAAAGTCTCTTATGTCAAAAACCATAAGGTTCTTACGAAGCATCTGTATTCAATGATAGATGCAAATAGGTAAACAGCATTCTAAATGAACTAAAGCATGAATTTTACAGAAAGTTTCCTCTTTTACGACAAAACGCTAAGTCTGGATATCATCTGCCCATTCACGTATCGAGAAGTTGAGAAAACCATAACACGTCACAACCGAGAAACCACTGGTCCACGATTTACTAACTTTTGGAGACGGTTGCCTAGTTTTAGCAGATAGACTGAGATGCTAACTAAAACCATGAAACTAAACGTAATCCCATTCAACTAGTCTTAATCGTCTCAGTTTACCGGACAAGAATCCCATTGAACTAACCACAGAGGAATCAGTTTAATTAATTGTATCTAAAACATTAGCCTCAATGATAACTCAGCGCTTATAAATAGCGA